GCACGGCAAGACGCATTCGCTCCGCGCTCCGCGGCACGGCATTCGGTCCCAGGGGCCGTTCCTTCGGGCCTTGCGGAGACGCGGTTCCCGGGGCGTTGACCCGATGGCCGGGTGAAGACGCCCTCCACGTTTCGCCCCGTTTGGAGGGGGGATGAACATGGGATGTGTGGAATGCAAGATGAGCGCAATCTAGGCAAGACTTGCGTTTCAATGATTTCAATGACAGGGAAGAGCGAACTGTTCCATATCATTTCTATGTACTTGAGCTCATTAGGATTGCAAAAGAACACATCTGTCACATCTGTATCAAACAATCGATGAGTCATGGAAGAGATAATGCTTTTTGGAATGGTTGTCCTAGGCTTTCCTACCAGGGTTTGGCTGAAATGAACAAAAACATATTAATCGATTGTTTGCTTTGCTTGCCTGTTGGAACCAGTGGTTCCTCGCATGAAGCCTACATATATATATATATATAAATATAATATGGTTCCCTAGTGTTCCCCATTGGCATCTACTGGCCACAGGCAGCCTGGCACATTGTCTGGGCAGCCGGAACCGGCTCAGGATGCACGCCCCAACATGGGAAATTCATCCTTGCACAACGATTTTTCCACCTCAGTGCATCAGGAACCCAAATCTCCAATAAAAATAACAATAGGTTTCATTGAGAGAGCCACTGAGGTATGCTTTACCACCTGTCCCGTGTGGGGAGTGCCTACATTCTTCAGAACCCAATCCCCCAACAAAAAGGGGTTCAGCAAAACGCCTAGGTCGGTCCTGTTCCTATCTCCACATATGGAACATTTATATATATATATTATACCTATAATGATTATAATGACCCCTCTTCAACCGCCCCAGTGTACTACTCCAAGTACCTTAAGAGAAGGTATGTGGATGTTTACAATCAAATCGTTGGCGGCCAACGTTTCGACCAACTCGTTGGCGCGCCTGGTATCGGTACAAGAAGGTGCTGTTGTTCCCCCACAGCCGCCCTAGAACCTCGGCACACGGGGCGACCTCGGCGCAGAAAAGCCCATCTCATTGACCCGGAACATGCTTAGACTCTTAGACCATGCAACAGTAGGTTTAAAACAAGTGGGGGACAAACAACAATGCAGGAAACTTGCATTCATTCTTCCTTCTGCCCCAGAATGCTCATGAAGAAGGCCAGCCTACAGGTGTTCATTTCAGATGTGTTGGGCCGGCTCACAGGCACACACACACAAATGGCATGAGCACCACGCAAAGAAACACACAAAAAACAAAAGCACCATGCAAAATGCCTATTCAACATCGGTAGCTGCCAACTACCCCAAACACTCCATCTTTGCATGGGTTTAGTTCTGGTGTTACATTGAGACAATTGACGCCTTTTCAACCACCCCAATGTAGGTGGTCCCATCCATGTGATATATGCTCCCATCCATGTTCTTGTCCTACGACGCCGCTCGCCCGGCGAGCCGGGAGCGGCGCTTGTTGCGGACTCGCACCGGAACCCGGAGGTAAGAGCCTCCGCTGACGCGCGGCCGGCTTTGGCGAAGGCCTGACCGATCCACCGACTGACCTACCGTGACTCCATGTGACTCCTCTTCCACCGCCTCAATGTAGGTACACAAAGCATTAAAAGAAGAAAATCGAGAGAACTCCGTTGTTTTTAGGATATGTAGACCTGTGTTCGGCTCATATGGCTGGTTTCGTCATGGCACCTCCACCAAACCATGGGAGGTTGACATCCCTTATAGACTTATAAAAAGAATCTGTGCATTTTGGTCCAACATGATTCTTTTGTGATGTGTCAGAAAAGGGAATCAAGACCTGGACCTGCTAGTACATGTAAGATACTATACTATACTATATATGTTATGGTTATGTTATATATATATATATATGATATGTAGTGTTTCACCGGTGGGTTTGAATGGCACCCTGTATTTAAGCCCTTGCCACCTTTCATCGAACTCATCTGACTTCAGCTGAACCTGGAGAGCTTATCTACCAAACCTAATGGCCTATGGTTTTACAGGTGATCAAGAAAAGGCGTCATGACTCTGCCTCCTACTTGGCCACTGGATGCTACAAATCCACTAGGTTCACTTGTTGACCTAAATAGCACACAATGGCACACAAAGCATGCTCTCTCGCAGTCAAACCTCCTTTGGCCGGATAGGAAATTTGTGACTGCTGGCAGCTGCTAGGCTCCCAAGACTGCAAACATGGAACAAAACATCAAAGGAACACCTAAGTAAGCTTTGCAATGCCCATGTGCATCCCATATTCATCCATTGTCCATGTCTTTGTGAAGTGACGAACTGATACGAACTGCATATCTGGGCGCTCTGGGCGGCCCCGCTCCAGCCCAGTGCTCAGAACCATCTGAGCAGTGTCCCAGGCGATGAAACAGCGGAAGGACCCAAGGGGCGGGCTTGAACTCCAGTGCTCTTGGTCTAACCTGTGGGGGTTGGAGATAGTTGGCCCTAGGTCGACCACGTGAAGCGAAACGCATGGATCCGCTCCATAGAGGCCCCATGCGAAGGGTGACAGATGACATGGCCATGTTCTTCAGTGAGTTGGGAGCGTTGAACCATTTGGGGAAAGGGTTCCCCACAGAGAAGGAGCAAAACCCACTGGTGAAGGGGCCTCCGCAACTTTGCTATACTCCCATACCATATGCTTACATATGCTTTACAATATGTTTCAAAAGGAACCCACCCCACTCACCACCGGCAAGCTTATAATAAAGGCAAACGCCTCACGCCAGGTCCAAAGAGATTGGAAGGAAAAGCCCATTGGGCGCTGTGGTTCCCCCAGGGTCCCCCAGTTTATAGCCGTCCAACAGCAACAATGCAGTCCTCTTGTCGAACACATCCGAAAACATTCAATCTTTCACCAACTGGATTAGCTAAACAAATCAAACAAGGAACAAGACAACGCCCGACTGCAGCAAGGGTCGCCTGATCAAAAAGCACCTCCACTGATGTGAAGGTTCCCTGGCTCATGGACATGTTCTTGGGCAAGGGCCCGCCCAGTGAGCCTCAGCCGGGTTGGCTTGACATGGATCGACCAATCGCCAAAGGGCCTTCTGCAGCAGAATGGCACCACTTTTTCATGTTTATGAGCTATTTAATATGTGAAAAATTAAGTTCCCATATTTTCCTTTGGTTAAGATGTGAAAGGGATATATATATATATATTGGTGAACTGGCGTTTTAGCATATTAGATCGTATTAGTTCATAAGGGACATGAAGGTGGATTGCTCCTACAAAAGGATTCTGATGGCACGTGGAGGTATGTATTGTCCCCCGACAATAGCCCTGCGACACTAATTATATAATTCCGCACGTTCTACCTATCTACTCCGTCGTATAACTATATACAGTTTTGTGTTACAGGGGCATGAGTCTTCTGACACGATTCGTGGTTCCCACCCGCACCAAAGAAAATGAACAAATTCATTTGCTCCTCAAATCCTCTAATCAGTCGGTTTCACCAAAGTCATCCGGCCAAACCCTCTATAGATCTATAGATTCCAGATCCACGGCTGAGTCTCCTTCCACTCCTTGCTTATAGCCATCTCGTTCTTCTTCCGTCCTCCCATCCTCCCCATCTCTCCCTCGTCCTCCCACGACGCCTCCGCTCAGTTGGCTGCTCCGCCGCGTCGACAGGTCGTCGCCGAAGGCGCCGCACACGTCACCGTCGTAGGGCGCCAGGAGCTCGTCCGGCTGCGGACGGCGAGGTCCCACGGGGCGTGACCGGTGGTCCCTGGAAGTTCGGTGCGCACCAGGTGCTTATACTTAGTTAAGAGGTGCGGGAAGTGAGACCAAGAGATCAAGGTATCACCAAACACTCCGACGGTTTCGGCGAAGTGCACCCCAAACATCCCCAAACCTGCCGCTCCGACCAAGCTCCGACCTGTAGGGAGAAGACCAAGTACCATGTGGTATTATCATGTATGATCCTACGTCCGCTTTTGGCGCAAAGAAAGAATACTTTTTGCTGCAACGAACGGAAGATGAAGACTGGTCCAATCCGCTGTTGCGTCCGTGTTCCACCCGTTGAACGACATGCCATGCTGCTGCTACACGGTGTAATCCACAAATCCCAATAGAACCATTCCCCATGATGAATCGTGCTGTTCACATCTCCAAGCTGAGGGTCCGTGGTGAAAAACGCTCAGGGTCCGTGTCAGGCTGCTGTGTGTGAAAGGAAATTAGTGAGCATATATATATATATGATAATTGATAGGTTCACAGGAACCGTCGTACCAAGAAAAGCCATAGTCTGTATAGTCTGTTGGTTGGCTGGCCCCAAAAAATCTGTGCTGAACAGTCCCATTTCCTTCGCTACAGGTGGCCGTTGGCCCGCCACTTCGTTAGTGAGGAGTGCAAATTCTACGCCCAGCAAGTCAAGTATATATATATATACATATTACCGTATGCGAGCCAAGCACCTCGGGCTCATCCGCCACAGGCCTTGGAAGAACTTCAAGAGAAGAATTCAGGACTTCCTTTCCAACAGAGGTTGAAGAACCCTATATATAGACTATCCATGACTATCCCATAGGTACCCCAGTAGGGTCCTGTGAGGTCACTTAACCTCTGTTGGTTTGTTTGGGTGGTGAGGACCTTTGCAAGGTGGCTCAACCTTCTATAGTACTATAGAAATGTTTGCCTTGCTGTCATGTTCCTTGGGAGTTGCTCCAAACATGAATGGTCTTGTTTGGATGAGACCATGACACCTCAGAAAAGCATCCAGAAGAGTGATGAAGACTGAGGGCTCAAGGAGAGAAACACATAAAAGCCGTTTTCATGTGCTGTCTCGCTGTGAGCCAAGAACCCCAACAAGTAAGATCTATTGAAACAAAAACACCTAATTTGGTCACCCCCACTTGGGCGACCTTCGCTTTCCGACCTGGCAAAGAAACAAAGTACTATATAAGACTAAGTACCTTATGGCCAGGTCGCTTTGCACACTCCAAATCCCTCGACGCTTCTCTCTGCGCGTACCGTTTCCCGCCGTTGCGCCGCGTGTTCTCGGTGAGACCGGGCGCCGCTTCCCGCCGCGCAAGGCGGCCCGCAGCCAGGCGGCTCAGCCGATGGCTCGGCCGGAATGGTGAGACATCCGGCGTGGCCGACGGGGCCATGGTTTTTGTTAGGACTCGTCACTTCAGAAGTAACCAGTGGAGTGGGGACCCTGGCTGCGTACGTGTGTGTTTCTTTGGAAGCTTGCAAGACTACAAGTAGGGGAGGAAAGAATGAACAGGAATCAAATAGGAACAGCTTCCATATGTCATGCTACTTGAAGACAGCCATTTGCGGGCTCGTTATTCATAATGAGGAAGTTCACAGGTCCTTTTCTACCCGACCAAACTGAGGACTGGCCAGGCTTTCGCTGTCCTTTCACGTTGTGGGAGCTAACCCGGTTTTCCACAGGACATATAGAGCCAAAAGCAACCCTCCGGGGGGGTTCTAAACAACACGCAGAAATGAGACAAACAGCAGGACAGGTCAGATGCAAGCGAAGAACAAATCAGGTTTTTTCAGGTATACATCTACTGCTTGGCTATGGGCCATATCCCCAATAGTAAAGAATATAGAAATCAACTAAATCCATGACTATAAATCCAGTGCCCTGTGCCCAGTGCCTCACCGGAAGTGGGTGATCTTCAGGGAGGCGTGCATGCTCTGGTTGTTCCAGTTCTCATCAGACTTCCACTTCAACGACCGCCTCAGGTGCTTCGGCACACTAGGTGGGGCCGCATACGGCCGGTAAGGTCGGCAGCCCAAGGTGGGGCAACTGATGGATGTTGTTCGTTGGGCCCGCGGTCGTTCGTTTGTGTGTAAGAAGCAGGCCGGCACAATTTGAGGTTGAGTTTTCTTCGACATGTTCACTGTAAAATTGTTGTCGCTTTGTGAAACTCAATTAATTTCTGTCGCTTGATGTAGTTTTAGTCGTTTTCTGGAAAAACAGCCATGGGTTTGCTTGCCACTTTCGACTTTCAGTAGCGCAACAAAAACATGTGCAAACAAATTGCGCTCTTTCGGTGCCGTTTTGCGCCGTTTTGGTGCCATTTTGCGCAGTTTTGGTTCTTGTGTTTCTTTTGGGTGATGTGTCAAAGTTTATAATTTCCCCCAGGCCCCATTCTATCAAAAATCCAAAAAGTGCTGCACTACATAAATTTGCGCCGCCTGCCCCAACAACTATGTTTTGTTCGAAACAACCAAAAAATACATACAAAGGAAGATGTATAGGTATAGAGCCTGCCAAAGGTCCGATCATTTATGCAGCTGTCAAAGTATGGGCCTGTTTCATCTCATCATGGAAGTGGATGGCATGGACCCTGGAAAGGAACTCCACTTCCATGCTTATGTCAGGAAGTGCTAATCTTTAAGTCTATGGCATCCCTTACCCAGGGACCCGGGGGTTTGTGAGCTTCTCCCTCTGGGAACGAATCCAGCCAGTTGGAAAGCACCAAAGCATGATATCCCCTAAAAGGCATCTAGATCAAAAAAGAACAGGCTGCTATTATTCTTAGTTTTTGATCCTTCACCCTCCCCAAACTCCCGATTGGCTGCTTCTGTGCATAGTGGTCGGTACGGTGAACTGTAGGGCTTCCCACTGGGCTTCCCATGTTCTCCAGATACTAAAAAGCCCACTTGAGTTGAACATTCCAAAAATACCAAATAATTAAATATCATACACTCTCCGGCTCCTAACATGGAAGTGGATGGCATGGCCACCAGGAAGTTACAGTCCTCTAGAGGACCGCGGGGACCCTCCACTTCCATGTTAGTGAGTTGGAGGACACACCTACAACTACACAAGCATCATTATAACATACACCCGGGAAGAATAACATTAAAATGGGACCCGGAAAAACCGTTTTCTCTACAAACCAGCGGTATTTTTTCAGGGTCCGTGTTACTTTTCCATGGGGTATCAAAAACCATCGGACCGTTGTCAGAGTTGCACCGCCCCCATAAGAGCGGTCAGAATGATTCACATCCTAGTCCTGCTGGTCCCTCTTGGTCCCTCCCTGTCTCGGACATGGCGTCTGACCCCGTGTAGTTGCTTCCCAGACACTCCATGTATGGCATATTTACATACATTAGGGTGGTTTCAGGGGTCAATGGTAGCCATATATGGCATACATGGAGTGTCTGGGCTTGGTGAAAGCATCACATTGTGGAACATGCAGTCTGTTGTGAGGACAGCAGTCGGCAGCAGTCGGCAACGATCTACCGCACGTTGAACGATGGGTCCCACCGAGAACATCACCCAGAACCTCACATGCAGTACATGCCTATTTCCACAATCCACATGCATCACCACACGCTCAAAACCACACCCTTTCGATGCACCCCGACAAGTTAGTTCACCCCAAAATGATCGTTTCCTGCTGCACCTCCTTCTCCCGCCGCCTGACCGTAGCAAATCGGTCTCCTCCCGCCCTGCCGTTTTTGCCCGTGAGTAGCGCTGTCCGGCGCGCGCGGAGCTGATGCCAGGTGACGTGGACTCGCGAAGCTGTGCCTCAGGGAGTGATTGCACATCCTTGAAGCGATGCTTGGCGCCCTCAAAGAAGGGACACTCATGACCATGGTCCTGGCGGAGAGAAAGCCGGGACCAAGGCGGACAGCAACAAAAACCTGCGACACATGACATGAAAGGAACAATGGAAATGCTTTTGGAGGGCTCGGCGACCAAGGCGGGGGCCACTACTGGCAAAGTAACAAACATGAGATGTGGGAACAAGTTTGATGAAAACAGAGTTGGCAAAGATATTGAATTAATTGAATGGGATAGGAGCATTTGAAGTTGAGATGTCAGGAAAAAAGCGGTACTCTTGGCCACCGGCATCCGCCAGCCCTACTTTCGAGATCGGAGCAGGGAGCTGAACTCCAACTTCTGCAGGCTTGGTGATCAAACCATGTCCAATGATAAGGAGTCCTCATGGATGAGCCAGGGTATGTCCTGGTAGTAGTCCTGGTATGGATGAGTCCTAGAATGGCTTATAGCATGCGCGCACTCAAAAATTGCGATTCTGTGGCTTACAGTGAGAACCAGCACAGCACTCTCCAATGCCTTTTTATTTTGCTGAGGGGTCAGCTTCAAAAATCATGGAATCATGGAAGCCGAGCAAACCTGAATTTATACTACCAATTCTAGAACAGCAACTATAAGGATGACCTGCCAGAACTCAACCTGTTCCAGTTCCATGCTGCTCCCCCGTGTCTACGCCGCGTTCGTTGCACGGTTCCGCCGCGCGCCGGTTCCGCTCGTCTCTCCGCCTTGCCGGGGTCCACGCCATAAGCCAACGCTTTCGGTCGACTGAGCTTCAAGGTGCCCCGCATCAGCGAGGGGTGGGGATAGTACTTCCCGTTCCTCGGCCGGTCGGTCACCGGGTGACCCAGGTGTGTTTAGCAGGCGGCCAGGCGAAAAACAGCAGGCGGTACACATGTAAGTAAGTAAGTAAGTAAGTAAGTAAGTAAGTAATACATGTTAATTTATACATGTGCATGCATTCTTGCAATGCTCAAAGTACATACAGTAATAATATATATATAGTTACTACGTAGTAGCAGCTACACACACAGATATATATATATATATAGTCCGGTACAACTTCTGGTACAGTGTTCCCAGCGCACTGCGTTCTTTTCACCTGTGCCTTCTTGCCAGACTGCACCGGTGGACCGCTGTTCTCAGACTACAGGCAATGTAGGAAACCATGTGAAAAAGAAACACCTTCAAAGCAAGTGGGACATGTTCCAGGGAAGAAGTTCTCACATGGCTGTGGGTCAAAACCCGGAGCCCCTGTCACCAGGGTAGGTTGATCTCCCTGGTAGTCCATTTGGTCTATTCATCTTGTGTAAAAGCACGCAGGTTGATGAGAACTGACACCCCCATTTTGGTGCCATGTGGCATGGACTCAATGGCATTAACAGCAGCGGCAAACAAACCCTTAGAGCCTAGAGCTCCCTGCTTAACAAGAACGGTGCGGAAATCATGCCAGCACACCAATTGCTTGCCAAAGGTGGGGAGACCTTGGCTCATTACCAGGAAGACGTACCAATCTGCCACTGATGCCGACTGAATGGGCGGCCAATGATGACGAATGGGTCCCCCTCTCGGACGGCAAAATACATGCAAAATCCAAGGCACATCGCCTTGGCGGCCATCTCCCTGAGTGCGGAGAGTGCGGGGTCTGGGTCAACGCTCCCCAGTGGCCCTGGGCGATGGGACCATATCAGCCCCAAGTGAGCAAAGAATTGTTTGATCTGGAACGCATGGAAGGGGGGGCAAGTCCCAAGGTGCAAGTTCTAAACTTGTATGCAGGGCCTTGCAGGGGATGCTGGAATGATGGAAGCCTCTCCATGATCAAAGCAACAAAAACTGACATCCCTCAGCAAAGGATCTCGGAAGCAATCCCAGCTGAGGAACAATCTTCCTAAACCACCTCTCAACTTGGATGGAACAATCTTCCCAACCCACTCTCAGCTGGGATGATATTTTTCAATGGAAGTCGTATATCTCCTAAAGGTCCTGTCCATTCTCTATGGACAATACCGTGACGACCGCAACCCGAGAGCGAATCCAAGCTAAAAGCCGCCTACCAGCCGCTACCACTGACCAGCAGGGCGACGCTTGCCCGAAACAAAGTCATCTCCCGAAAGTTCACTTTCTGTCTTGCACAGGATCAAATCAAGCTGGCTGATGTCACCCAAGGCACTCCGTAAGTTCCATCTCCTCTGCCTCCTCCTCCACCTCTGGAGGCACCTCCTCCTCTTCTGGTGGCACCTGAGACGATCCCGACGATCCTCGAGGAGCATCTCCGCCCAGATGAGGCACCTCCACCGGCTTCTCCGCGCCCAACGTTAGACTCGCTCCTACGTGCACCACCGCGCGTCTCGAGACGCGTGGCGCACTCCAAGGCCTCCACAGGAGGCAGGACGGGCGTTGACATGACCCGCTTGCTGGGCTTCTTGGTCACAAAGGTGGCCAACTTCCTGAGCGACGTGGGGCACTGCGTGCGAGCGAAAAGAGAGACAAAGAGGGAAAAGAAAAAGAGAGAGAGAGAGAGAGAAAGAGAAGAAGAGGAAGACACCATCCATGTGGCCACAGGGACTGCATTCTTTGGTAGTGTGGAATTGCAGAGACGTCCTGGGATATCAACTTCCTGTTCACCCAGGGCAGCAGCCTCACTTTTTGGGTCTCACATCCTATCCTAACCAAAAAACCCTCTGGCCGGTTTCACACAAGAGAGTGCCACGTACTGCCGAAAAGGTGGTCTTCTGTGGTGTGATTTGGAGATGATGATGGGGGAATATTGTGGGGAGGCTGCCGACAGGCAGTTCAGCTTGTGACCACAACTCCTGAGTTGAACTTGGATGGCTCTCAATATATGAATCAAAAGAATCAATCTGTGGACGTGCAAACTGACCAGATCTGAAATTGGAGGAACACTGTCACTGTCTTACTTAAACGCCAAAATGCCTACTCGCATGTCCGACACATGCCATGAAATGAGATAGAATCATATACATGTTACATGTTCACCCTTCTCTTACAGCTCCAATGTCGAAGAAAATTCGATATTCCTCTAGTTGCTGTAGTGGAGCAAAGTTCATCGCTCAAAGTGGAGGGAAGTTAGGGAAGTTCCTTCTTCCATCGCTCCATCTTCTCAGTCTGGGACCCCTAGGCGCTCCGGTCGGGTCCGGTCTGCCACAGACTGCTGGGGCGCCCCGGCACGCCGCCTTCAGCATGCCTCGGCTTCACAGGGTTCTTCCAAAACCCCAACAGGAACTTTTGCGCCAAACGTGCTCTTTTCCCCGTCGCTTCTTCCAAAAAGGGCCGTGTGTGTGTTCTTTTCTCGGCGCCTTTTGGACACGACGATGTGACGTCAAGAAGACTTGATCCGACTTGGTGCGTCCAGAGGGTCCGTGCGCGGTGAAAACGGGATGTTCGTGGAAAGTACCGGTGAAATAGAGAGAGAGAGAGAGTGGTTTCAACGGGCATTGGCACTGGAGCCAGTGCCGTCTACTCTGAAAGCACTGGATAGGAGTGAATTCCCCACATCTGGGCTCATCTGGGAGAACCAAATAAGAACATGCACTGACAAGAGCATTATATAGGCGGGATAGGATCATAATGCTTGCCTGATGTTCTGCGTGGAAAGGTGTTCACACACACAACATGCCATGTATGCACTGTCATCTGCCAAGTTCAGCTAAACGTGGTATAGCTACATCAACCAATCAGCTCTAACCTGTGCAGATGTACAGGTAGACCTCTCTGATGATCTGACGGTCTCTCTCATTGGTTGCTTGGCACTGCACATGCTGCAGCCACTGGCTTTGGGGGAATCAACTCCGGGCCCAACGAGCCCGATCCAAGGCGCTGTGCGTAGTTGGAGAGCAGTCGCTCTGTTGGAAACCGCCTGCTCATGGAGTACGCCATATGAGCCGATTGGCCTGGGAGACGGCAGAACAACCCATGCAACAGTAGAAGCGAACAAGAGGAAGGACCCGAAGATTGGGGGTTGACCACTGATTGGGGTTGACGAATGCAGTACTTATAGTCGTGTAAATGCTTGTGATGCATCAGCTTTTCAGTTCTGCTTACACTGCAATTTGGAAATCACAGTTGCAAGCCAAAATATGTTTTCTTATATTCCGCTAGCCGGTAGAATATATATACCTATAAATTAATAAATTATCCTCTTTCTCTATGTATATATATATATATGTATATGTGACTATATGTGTGTGTGTGTGTGTTCTATTCTATTCGTTCATTCAAAAAGGACGCCTTGCAGTGGACAAAGAATCAATCCCCCAAAAGGGCATGGACTATTTGGCCTCATCCAACGGGCCGACGCTCGCCGACGCTGATCCCCAGCCCGACCCGCTGGAAGTGTGAGTTCGTTGGGCACGGCACATCCCTCACCCTTCAGAACTTGAGGAGTGGGTGGCCTGACTGAAAGTTCAAGTTCAAACGGCGCCTGCCAGCACTTACAGAACTGTAGGAAGCCAACCCTGATGGAAAAATCCTGGACTACGTTGCCACGCGTTGACTCGGGAGGTTGTGCAAGCCGCGCGGAGATCTTCAGTATGTTTAGTAGACTAGTAGTCTCCTTCAGAACCCCCTAACCATCTTCAACCGGTCCCAAAACCTGACTGCATCCTGCATCAAACACTCCGAAAAGAAACCAACAGGAAGTCCACATCATCCACTGCTCACCCTGTTCCCAGGTCACCCTGAGAACCGCTCGGAGAACCGGCCCTCTTCTCCCATCACCGACGTCACCGTCCCGGTCCGCAAGCGAGGTGCACAGGTTTGGGTCGACTAAGCCGGTGATCTGCCGCTGCTCTCGATGCTCCACCCTCGCGGAGAAGGGCGGCAGCGGGTCGCGGACCCGGGTCGGTGGAGAGCGGCAGAGGAGCCATAGGGGTTGCCTGCCATGTGTTGTGTATTTGTTGGTCCTCCTGTTCTGTGCATGTCTTTGCTCTATATTTTGGGGAAGGTGGTGGAAGGTTCATATTCTATGTTGAACAAACCGGTTCTTCCGAAGCATGTCTAAAGAAGGGTTGTAGCAGTCGGATCTATGACAAGTTGTTCCTTGAATATCTTGAATGTACATGTTTACAACGCTGGGAAGTCTGCTTTCGAGTGGATCGGCTAGCACATGCTAGCACTACAGATCACTATAGCAAGAATATGCCAAAGAGATCCAAATCCAAACACTCCGTGGGACTGCCATATATGCCGATCAATTGACCCCCAAAACCACCCCAATTGATCGGCATATATGGCAGTCCCATGGGTCGTGTCTGAGACTCTCAGAGTGTTCCGCGGAAGTGATGTCCATCCCGAATGCGGGATGCAAGGGACGCATGGGGTGTGTAGTCGAGGTGACTGGACTGTCTCAAAGAAGCGCAAGCTTCTCTCTGGAAGAGCCCAACATGCAGCTCCCCCAGCCCCCAACCGGAATCTGGACTCTGGAATGGTCACCACTCCTTCCAAAAAGGATGTCTCACCTCCGGAATCCACCAAAAGCAAAAGACGCTTCCGGTTCTTTCGTCGCCTCTGAGTGCCATCACGCTGAAGCTGGCGGCCTTTGGGGAAGACGTAGGCTGCGAAGGCGGTCTTTGAAAAGTTGCCTGCCGTCTGTTTCGGCCGCCCATGCCACGCGGTCCGGGGGGTTCGGGGTGCCATCTCCGATCCAAGCAATTGGAAGAGCTGGGAGGATCGACTCCGAGCTTGGGCAATTCTCGGTTCCAAGAACAAACCCCGGGTTCAAAGCGTTTTGAAATATCTTGAGTTCTGCAATAGTCAAGATTGTCCAGCTCAACTTCTAAACCAATTGGTCCACCTGTCCCATGATTTCGAGCGAATCTCACCACCAGAAACTCTGGAGAGATCTTGATAGATGGCGAGTATGATGGCCGAGTATGGCAGAAAGTGAGCCCGGCCAAAGGAATCCCATGTCCAGAAACAATGTGGCCCCTTGAGCACAAAACTAGCCCTGAAGCACCCAACTTGACTGAACATGCTTGCTATACTGCGAGGATGTTTTGAGCTGCCTGAGGCTAAGGTTATAAAAAACTTTCATATGGTAAGGCCAGAATCCGTGATTTAAAACAAGACAAAAAGTCAAAAAAAAGTCAGCTGGAAAAGTCAAAGTCAAAGAAAAGTCAAATTGAAAAGTCAAAAACAGTCAAAAAAAAAGTTTAAAAAAAACAAAAAGTCGAAAAACAACAACAGTCAAAAAAAAACATGCGAAAAAAATGTCAAAACAATCGGATCTGGGCAAATCGACTTGTTTGACTTTCTGAAATTTCCTGATTTGATTCTTTTTTGACTTTGACTTTTGGGATTGACTTTTGTTGACGTGTTTTTGACTTTTTACTTTAGAAAACAGGCTCTTTCCAATGAAAGTTTTCTTTTTTTTAAAGAAAATAAGGCTAGCAACGAACAAAAACCACCCACCACCCACAAGAATCTCATCTCTTGCACCTCTTTGCGTACAGTATTTACATAATAATATGTACCTCTGTACCTCTACCATCAGGTCACCTCCTGGCAAATAATGCTACATGAGTCTGCATGGTCACCACTGCCACCCCGAATGGACTCAAAAGGAAATCGAAGGCGACCTTGGGGGTGCTCATGATCGAGGTTCAACTGGGTTCTCTGCTTAGTGCTCAACCCCACCAGTGATCACGTAGTAAGAACCAAGCAGCCCTGCCTCCAAAGCTGCTGCCTCGTTGGTGTTCGCGGGGAAAGCGCGCAGAGTTCGCCAAGCAAAGGGGTGGAGAAATTGGATTGAACAAACAGCTGCTTGTAGTTTTGAGATTTTTCGCGTCTTCCTTGGTCTAGAGGCATTTTATCAGAGCAAACGGAAATGGAAGAGCGCCTTTGCCGAAGGACACCCCAAGTCTTTTGTGAATGTTCTGTTGTAGGCGTGCCTCAGAATATGAACACAAGAAACGTCTTGTGCTTTCGAATGGCGTTGTTGCCTGCAGATTCTATAGCAGGGGTCTGTGCTACTGAAATGCACTCCTAAGGCAGCGCGATTGCAGAATATATAATTAGCAGTCCGAGGTCTCAACCACCAAATCACAAATGTTTTTGCGTGGTGGTCTACGGTGGGTCCGATTGATTTGCCAGGATCGGATGGGACCATGAGCAGCGAACCACGGCGGACGCTCCGGCGGATGCTCCAACAAGGCCAATGGCATGGCAGTCTGGGGAAACTAACTTGTGTCTGATTGTGTCTGAAAGCAACGTCAGCCGGTTGCAGGAGAAACAAATCAATCACATTCATGCATCTACACAGAATAAGTCGTGTGGTAGTCAATTACTTCTACGCCGCCAAACTGCTTCAATCCAACAAAGCCTGGAGTTTGTCATCTAGCCCAGCTTGTCCAGGGGCCGAATGAAGTCGCAAACACCAGAATCAGAATCCTCTGCGGTCCCTCTGCCCCTCCAAAACGCTCCGAAACCTCGCGCAAGGCCGCTCGTGCCTCCCGGGGGCTTCTGCTCCGTGAAGACCGAGGCGATCACCATCGGCGCCGCGCCCGCGCCCAGAGGGGGCGCTCGCGGCTCCGACAGCTGCGAGGGGAGGTCAAACAGCGGCGGATTGGGCGGCGTTTGCTGCGTGGGCGTTGCTGTTGGGAGCCGGACATCAAGAAGCTAGCGCAAATTGGACATGCAAATGGTACATGACATTAAACGTCAATATGATTCAATACGTCAAGATCTTGCAATTTCTACACCGGGGTGAAAGTTGTTGGCGCAACTTAAAAAAAATAGCGGGAACAGCCGCGCCATGTAACTCCTTTTTCTCGCTATTTGGCCGTCATAGATGGCGCAACTGGTCTTTGGATTGCAGAAAATTAAAATTCTGCGGGGTGTCTGTGCGGATACTAGTTTTCCCTATTTCCCAAAAAACGTTTGGGGCCTATAGATGGCCCAATGGCCAAGTTCTGTACATTTGACCTTTGAGCAAAAATGTGTGGCCCGGTACCAATAGTGATTTCCTCATATTTCTTCTTGATTTCCTCTTGCCTCTTGAACTTATTCGTTTCCTTTTGATGTCCTTTTGCGGTGGGGCAATAGATGGAGCGGTCCCAATCTCCGCCATTTTCTGCAAAATAGTGCACAACATCATGCAGAATCTTCCTGTTTTTTTAGCCACGGGGCGCATAGATGGCGCAACACACCTGAATGCCCCTGATACCTAAACCTGGCGCAATTAAAAAAGTCACCTCATCTATTTTCACCCCGGAGTATCTGCCACGCCAGCGAGTGGCTGACCCCTAATCGTCCTTTGAGTCCTGTTTATGTGCAGCCTGACTGTGCTACAAATATGTGCAGAACTTGGACTGGAAGGGCCGTTGGTTTTGCTTTGTTCCCACACCTATTGGATGCAAATGGATGCAACTAAGACGTTTCCAAAGACGACCATATTTGCCGTCATTTCGTTCAAGGTCCATGGAAATACCAATGTCCTTCACATGGTTGCTATGTTGGTCGTGCTGGTGCTGGGGAAGTCGAATGGAACATCAAATAAGTCTGACCGGAGACACTGGACAGCATTCCCCTTTGGATATATTTACAGAAACTCCCAGATGGAATTCTGCAGATTCTAGGACTCCATGACCCCATCACAATCCATCACCAGTCCCGGGTCCGCCCTCCCGGGACGCCGCCCTTCGACGAAATCGGGACTGGATGTGTGCGGGTTCCTGGATCTGTGACAAACCGTCTTGGAAATTCCACTCTTGGCAGTGTAGATTCTGGCCATTTAGACCCCAGTCAGACTGCAGCCACTGGGTTACCAGGCGATGGCTGTGCCCGCTCCTCGGTGCGACAAAGGTCGACACGACATCATGCTTTGATACTTTGCCATACTCTTCCAACAATTCCCCGCAAGAAAAGGATATCATGTGAAGCAACCCCAGTTGATGAATGCAAGACCAATGCAAAAACTCAAGGACTAAATCATGTACTATAGACGATCCAGGAGCCCTGGATCCATCTATATAAAATACACCTATATCTGGCCACTTGGTTTATTTTGGAAATGCATGCTGTTGTTGTTATTCTGTTTCGCTGTTACATTATTGCATATTATTTCTATGGAGGAACTGAGCAGGCTGTAGTGACTTATTATACAAGTCGCAACTGGGATCGGCTGGGTAACATTTGAGCATCAACAGCACCTGTTTTCCTCACGAGTGCCTCCACCCGGCAATTTATATAATCCTTTAGAACAGACCAGTGGACCCAAAAATCACCTCAGCCCGTGGGATTTCCACCCCCAGGTCCAACCAGTGCTTCTTTCTTTTCCTCCAAACGCGGATCGGGCGAGGTGCACCCCTCGCATCTGTCCGGGTGCGCCCCGTGACTCGCCGTGGCGGCTCCGCCTAGGCAGCGCAGGTCTCTGGTCTCAAGAAGGACTCGTTGAAAGCACTGCAATTCAAGAGCTCCCTTCCCGGTGGCACGCCATCACTTCCCAGCAAGAGCCCGTCGTTCACCACGTGGCGTCCGTAGTGCTCCTGGGTCGCAGGTTCAGCAAACCCTCGTGATCCAAAAGCGGATCTCCCGGAGGGAGACTCGGTTGAAGAAGTTCCATGCCCAAAATTGCATTGAATGGCTCCCTTTTTTTTGGGGGGGGGGGGCAGAAACAGACTGACTGGAATCAAAATCTTTGGACTTTGGAGGTCCCGATTTCGAGAGCTTCCCTTACTTCCTTCATCTGGGGGCCTCTTTGGATTTTCACTCTGCATGGAGATCTGCTAAACCAGCTCAACCAGGTCTCCAGCAACTTATTCAGCACGGGCAGCGTCAAGAGCGTCAGGACGCTCAAGGCCAAAACGTGGCTCTTAGCCGCAAAGCGCAGGTGAAAGACACAAATGCAAGCGTCGCGCCGGCCGGTGTCGATGTTGTGTTGCAAATAGCCTGGGCGAAAACCCAGTGGCGAGCTCGTGGAGTGTCGGTTCATGTTCTGAGTTCTGAGGGGAGTGTCACACATATTAGGTCATACCAGCAAGTTATTCCTTGCACCCCCCGGTTCATGTTTATATAGAGGGAGAGATCCAAGTGACATAAAGGATGAAAAAGGACGTCCACTCTATTTCATATCTTGTTCTAAATCTAAGGACCTCCAAAGCCCTTAGCGGGGATTCTGGCCCAGTTCCAAAGTGGTGCTGGTAAAAGTAGATGCTTTGATGTAGTATATATTATACGCTAAAAATGCCCATAGATAAAAACGCTAACTTACATTTATATACATCGTTCAACGTGTGCATAATATATTACGATATATATAATTCCTAAGACACTTCCTAAGACTTAAGAAACTATCAGAAACTAACACATACAGTAAATGCGGTAAATGGTATCCTGTGTGTCCAATGGTCATCCCAGCAACGGAACCAATCCTCAGCATGCTGACGTTGCATCACCACTTCGAGTTGAAGCTTGGTGCTGTGCCCCCAGTGCTCAGCCCAATTGCGGGGCAACAAGTCCATCACCGTGTTGTGCAGCTTTTCCTAGAACGCACCGAGCGAATAATGACTCCCCCAGTTTCCCTTGAAAATCAGCAGACTCTCTACCTGTTCTTGTTTTGTGGGGTGTCCCCAATCCCCCTCAAACAAATTGGTTACAAACATGGCCGTTTGACCTCTATACCTTTCTGCCAAAACCGGACCCCGAACCCGAAAGACCTGCTACAAGGATGCTTTGCAGGTTCTCGTACTTGCTGGGTGGGAATTGTTCCTGTGAGTCCAAAAAAGGGCATCTCCCCGCTGTGAAACGAAAGACACGCAACAACATGGTTGCACACGTTTGGCTCAAGAAAAAGACAGAGCGGCACGGCTCGCATGGGTTATGAGCCCAAGGTAGAAAGACCACCCTAGCAAAGCTAGGTTGCTGGCCGCCATGGATTTGAGAAGAAGGCGCTCGCAATCCAAAGGGCGAGAGCCGACAGCAGATGAAAGGTTGGACGCTTTGCTAGAAGAAGCCAGAGCATCCGGGACTCCAAAAGAACCCGTTCGACGAGCACAAAGCCTAGAGCCTAGTCGGATGTTGACGCCCTCGTTGAGGAAGACCTCATCGGCGTTGACCGCTGGTGCCTCGAGAGAACGACCTGCACCTGAAGAAGTTCGAGCGATCGAGAATCGAGAACGTGAAGTCCCTACAGAACCTCAAGGGCAGCCGATGAGCTTCTGGCCGGTGGTTCCTCCTCTTCCTACTGGGGCACTACCTCCTCCTGTACCTGGACACCATGTTGGCGGACAAGTCGGAGGGCACGAAGGTGGTGGTGGGGCACCGAGCTTGCTGCAGCCAGCCCAGGAGCAAGCCTGGGGGATGTTGGCGGGCCTGGGAACGCCTCTGCCGGGGACGTGGGAAGCCAATCACAAATGCCGATCTTGCCGGGGCCACGAGAAGCTGGTGGGCCTATGAAGGGAACCACTAGGGATGCAGAACAGATATCTAGCGGTCGACTAGCGGGACAAGATCATCTACCAGAACGAACGGTTGGTGAAGATATGAAGGGTTCCGTGAAGAGTTCACCGGTGAATCCATGGACGGCTGAGAAACTTCGTGAACTACATGACCAAGCCCAAGGCAGTCGTGGAGTACCTGATCCCGTGGAACTACTTCGTGCTAAATGTCTTCAAGAAGCGGAGGTTAGGTTTCAAGAAGAAATGCAAAAGTTGGGTCAGCCGAGCTCGAACTCGTCTTTCCAGTCCGCAGTGGAAGCTCCTGGAGGTAAAGTTCAAGGTGGTGGAGAAGGGCAGACCACGAAACAGGTGACGGCGCCGATCGTGAATGTGGGACCTATGGCTCCGGGTGCAACACCTGTGGCCTACCCATGGCCTTATCCTCCTGGTCTACCTGGACAACTTCCGTGGGGTAATGGAGTGTGCGGCATTTTTCCAAATGGTGTTGCTGGACCATCTACATCGCCAAATGCATGGGTGGCGCCAGAGGAATCGCTGGGTGATCAAACCCGGTCAGTGGAATTGCCGGTGTTGGGCCTCGAAGCAACATCGCTGGCGTTTGGTGACTGGCTTACGACGCTGGAGCCGATTGTGTCGGAGATCAGCCCGGGAGCGAGTCAGTGGTGGCAGTTGACCTTGAAGAGCGTGTCCAAGGCCTATGAGGAATGGCTGACGGCGGATCCGCTCCAACGACTTCGTCTGGGTCCTGTCTGTTTGGAAGAGGCGAACAAATGGCCTCGTACGGAACGCAAAATGTTGAGCCTGTTGTTGCAGGTTGTGCCTGAGAACGTCAAGAATGAGGTCGTGACGACTAGGAAGATGACGGTCGCTCAGGTGTTGTTCATCCTCTACGTGAAGTTTCAACCTGGAGGACAAAGTGAACGGATGAGCCTAATCCGAAATCTGACGGAGCTCAAGCTGACCAACAACATGCTGGAGGTCGCCCAGGGCATCCGCACATGGAGGAGGTGGTGGAGCCGTTCGGAAGAACTGGGAGTGATGCTTCCAGACCCTGTGGTATTGGCAGGGGTGTTGGTGAAGGCTTCAGATCACATGGCGAAGTCTGGGGCGCAAGTGGCATACCGATTGGCAACCAGTCGGCAGCAGTTGTTGGTGGACACTCGTCCAACTCTTGAGAATGTCAAGATCTTCGCGGAGCACCTACAGGCCGAGGCTGAGGAATTGTCGATGGGCGCTGGAAATGGTGGAGGGAAGGGATTATCACTGAAGGCAGTGGCGGTCCAACCTACATCAGGTACTTCGACTACGACCTCGACGGGGACAACTGGAGGTGAACTTCGGGAAGGCGGTGCCGGCGATAAAGATACCTGCAGGTTTTGGATGACCGAAAAAGGGTGTCGTCGTGGTGACCGTTGCAAATTCAAGCATTGCAGGTTGAGTCCAAAGGAAAATCGGTGCTTCAACTGCTCAGGCCTGAACCACAGCAAGACGTCGTGCCCGTTCCTGAAGAAAGAGGGAAAGGGGGAGGAAAACGTCAAGGTGGCGAAGGTGAAGGGAGGAAGCGCGGGTGGTAGTCCGGAAAAGACGGACGCTGGTGGTGCTGGGGGAGAGGAAACCAATGTTTCAGCTTCATCCGGGACAAGAACATCGATGGAGGAAGTGCCTACTGGGGGAAAAGGAAAGCCTGGTGGTGGTGCTCCCCATGGAGAAGAGACTATGACTTCTGTGGGCGGCTTGGTGGAGGAGGCCTCGGCTTTGTTGAAGTCCCTCCAAAGGGCACGACTCATGGCGGTTCAATGTAAATCGTTGGAGCCTTCGTCTATTGTTGATGAGGGAATGGTTGACAAGGTTGGCCTGTTGGACGGTGGGGCAACACATCCACTACGACATGGGTCTCGCAAAGAGATTGAAGAGGCGGAAGAGGTCCCGGTGGATCTGGCACATGGACGGGTGTGGCTTCGACAACATCCGGTGACGGGGACCATTTTGGTGGATGGGCATATTGAACCTATCGTTCCAGTGAGGGGGCTGATCGATCTTGGCTATAAACTACAATGGAGCCGCAGTGGATGTGTGGTGGTGCACCCCAAACGGGGAAAGATCTCTTCATGGCTGCGGGATGGCTGTCCTGTGGTGGCTGAGGAGGATGCTTTGGCCCTCATCGCGGACATTGAGAATGCCGAGCGGAAGAAAGTGGAGGACTTGAACCAAGAGGAGAATCTGGATGGGGACATCATGATGTGGTGGCAGAAGCGTTTCCCGCAAGTCCCAAGCCGAGTGTTTCGCTACATGTCGGAAGCTCCAGACAACTCATCAAGTCCATTGCCGTGGAACAGAAGTGTGAGAAGACGACTGCAACAGTCAAAAAAGATCCTACTTCACCTCTATGCAGGGGAGAAGGCGGAGGAATGGAAGGATTTGGAGGCTCATGGCTGGGACGTGATCACCCTGGACATCACCAAGGGGAAGGACCAGGATGTGCATGGACCAAGACTATGGGGCTTCTTGACAGAGTTAGCCAGAAAAGGGGCCATCAAATGTGTGGTGGGAGGACCGCCTTGTCGCACTGTTTCTCGTATGAGGTTCAAGAGACCAGGACCGAGGCCACTACGTGATCGTGGAGAAGGACGTTTTGGACTACCTCATCTTAGTGCAGGAGAACAGCGCTTAGCGGATCATGACACTGCCCTGGTCCTAAAACAGCTGGGGATATTCTACATGGCGGAGGAAGCTCGACTACGCTATGGCCTGGGAGAAGAACCTACCGGGTTTCTGTTGGAAAGCCCTGAGGACCCGGGAAAAGACAAACTGGGAAGTCAGATGCCGTCGTTTTGGAGCTGGGAGGAACTTCAGGATTTGGCATCTGAGGAGGGCATGAATATGATCAGTTTTGATCAACGTCCCATGGGACACTGTCGAAAGAAGCCTACGAGCATCATCACCAACTTGCCTAACATGCTGGAGCTCCAAGAGCTGAGAAGTCCCGCTGGGCATGATGAACCCTTGGCAGACAACCTGAATGACCGGATCGATCAATCCAAGTCCTGGGCACTATGGGGGCTTCCGGGCGGCGGTATGGGCCTCTCTCAAGATCTACCTGGACAGGTTGGTGCAACAGGGTCCTCGGATTGCCAAGGCGCTCAATGCGAGGGAGAGGGAACTATGGGCTCAACACTTCCGACAAGGGCACACACCTTTTCGACGGGATTGTCGGTTGTGCGTCGAACAAATGGGGGCACAACGACCGCATCGGAGGAGAAAGGAGGGGCACACTATGACTTCCTCGTGGTCTATGTCGGTGGATATCGTGGGGCCTTTACCTCGAGCGAAGGATCTGGCAACAAGTCACTACATGAAGTATGCCTTGGTGGCTGTGGCGCTGGTTCCGGACTTTGGCAAGGACAAAAAGGAGACCGTGGGAGATCAAGACGCTCTGGAACAGGAAGGGGCAGAGGGTGATGATCAAGGGCTACCAGAACAGGAACACCTTCAACGAGAAGATGAAGAACCGGGGGAGGTGGACCTGGAAAAGGAAGAAACACCGGAGGAGGAACGATTTCAAAAGGAGTTGGAGGAAAGTCTTAAAAGTGTACCAGTGAAACACGTGGTGCATGTGGAGCCAATCGCCTCAAGGGCCCAGGATGAAGTGGTGACGGCTATGCAAAAAGCATTGGCAGGATTTAAGGCGAGGGCATCTACATCAACAGGCTGCACTCCGACCGGGCCAAGGAGCTCATCTCAAAACCGATGACGGCTTGGTGTGCTCGAAATGGCATTGTTCCTACGACTACAGCGGGGGATGATCCAGCCTCCAATGGACACGCAGAATCCGAGGTGCATCAACTCAGGAGAAAGGTCCGACTGCACCTGGCAGAGCATGGTTGTGAGGTGACATCATGGCCGGATGCTTTCCGCTATGCTGCAATGGAGAGAAGGTATAAACAGTTGGAAGCGTTGGGAGTACCTTGCCTTCCGATGCTGCCCTACAGGGGAAGGGTGTTGGTCAAGGTGAAGAAATGGCACAAAGGTGGTGGATTAGTGGCGCCGTTTGCGGATGCTATGATCCTATGTCCAAGCCACTTGGTGAATGGAGGATGGGTGGTACAACTCAAAGATGATCGTGTACTACATGTCCGTGAAGCTGTACAAACAAATCAAGAAGGAGAACAGCTTCGGATTCAACAAGGACCGCATGGAGAAGTGGTTCAACTACAACTGGAAGAAGATGACCGGCCGGGACAACCTCATCGACGAATGACAGGCAAACAGCCTTTTGGGAACACTCCGAGCTGGAAAGGGAATTCGCACGTGGGTACGGTTCCTTTGCCAGCGGGGGGGGAGTATTCTTCATCGTCGCCAATTTTGAGGCCGAGTACATCAACTTCGGAACTATGGGAGGACGCCCCGGAGAAGTTCCCACGATCTGCAACTGCGGCCTCAGCCACTGGGGTTCGAGCCATGAATGTGGATCCCGCTGGCAGGACCGTGGACGAGACGATGGTGAATCAAGGGCGATGGCTGGACATGGACAAGGTGAAGGAAACGTGGGAGTGGCAGCACATGACACTACAAAAACAACTTGCCAATCTGGTGGATGATGTGCCTAGAAATGCTGCACAGGGGGCTCAATCAGGACTGGAGGTGGAATGGTTCGTGAAATGGCGAGATGACTTGGAGGACAATCTGATCATGTTGGGCCGAGTGGAGATGGACACTCGTGTGCAGCTGTGCAGCCTCCAAGCTCAAGAACCAGACATCTTGCAGACCATCACGGTGCCTTTGCATGAAGTTCGAGCCAATCCCCAAGATTGGATTCCAGCTTTTCAATATGAATACAACGTCCTTGTGCATGACACCCAAGCTGTACAACCGATGGCCCGTGAAGCGCTTCCAGAGGGACAGAATTGATCCCAGGAAAAATGGTGTGCGTTCGTAAGGGTGGATCTGGACAACATCGTGCACGTGCCGTCATATGCGGAAATATGGCCTCTCCTACGGCAGATCCTTCGTGGGGACCAGCAGGGAGCTATGCCTCAGGTGCTGACGGAACCTTGATCAGATGTGCAGTTCGTCAAGCAGCACATGAAGGCTGGTGGCTGTCAGCCCTCGATGTCAAAAGTGCGTTCTTACAGGCCCCAAGGCCGGTGGCTCCGGGAGCCAATCCAGTCGCTGTGGTTCCACCTCGTTTGATGTCCCAGTTGGGCATATGTCCGGACAATGAAGTGTGGGTGGTCAAGAAGGCGCTCTACGGGTTCCAGACTTCTCCAAGCCACTGGGCGGTCCACAGGGATGAGCGTTTTTCCACTTTTGAGTGGACCAGTGAAGGGATGAAGTTCAAGTTGCAGCCCACCAAAGAAAGGAACCTATGGCGCATTGTGAAGGAGGGAGACAAGAAGCCGGTGGGATTGATGCTGGTTTACGTTGACGATCTCTTGGTGATGGGCACTTCATTGGCGCATGATGGGTTGGTGGGTCGAATTCAAGAAGAGTGGAAAACCTCCAAACCCGAGAAGGTGAACACGGAGGAGTGGGTTCGATTTTGTGGCTTCGAGATGAAGTTCCAGGGGGACAACATCTTGGTTGGACAACCGTCCTATCTACAAGACCTTCTTCGACGAAGGGGGATCACGACAAAAAGGTCGACGCCATTGCCCAAGGAACATCTCGCGGCGTTGGAGGTCGAGGAAGAGATTAAGATCGAGGACGTGCGACAGGCTCAGGCGATTGCTGGGGAGATCCTATGGATGTCGGTGCGAAGCAGGCCGGATTTAGCCTACGCCATCGGTGCACTGGGTCGGGAGGTCACAAAACATCCTCGCTGGGCGGTTCAGACGGGACACTACATCCTGGAGTATTTGAATGCCACAGCAGAGTGCTTCTTGTCCTATGGCCGCTGTCGAGATAAGGATCGAGGACCCGATGACGCCTTAGCTCGTGAGCGCAGCATGGACCTGGTCGAGATCTACTGCGACGTCTCCTATGCCCCTCAAGGGGAAAAAAGTGTCCAGGGCATTGTGGCTATGATTGGTGGAGGAGTGGTGCAGTGGGAATCATCACGACAAAGCTGCATGGCGCTCTCTACGGCAGAAGCTGAACTTTTGGCCTACATCGAATCGTCGGTGATGGGGGACAGTCTTCAGGCGCTACTTGGGGAAGTGCTGGGCCTGGGGGAGTTGCCCTCGGTGGTCACGTATGGTGATAGCCAAGCTGCCATTGCCATCATTCAACAGCCGGACGGTCCCTGGCGAACAAGGCATTTGAGGCTGAGATCCTATGCCTTACGGGAGAGGGCTCGGTTGGGGACGTGGCAGATTTACCACATGGAGGGGTCGAAGTTGATTGCGGACTTTTTGACCAAGGCTATAGCTGTGAAGAGTTCGTGGCAACGCTTCAGAACGTTCATCAACATGATCGACATGGGGGAGAATGACCAGGCCCCGAACGACGACTCCATGGTGGGCGAGAATGATGGTGGTGTGAGGCTGGCCAAGGTAGCTTTGTGCATGGCAAGCTGTGCGGCTTGTCACCAATGGCCCAATGCGGTCACCAAGGCCGCTGTGGTTGCTTCGTTAGCTGTAGCTTTAGCTTTTGAGGCCACGTGTTTGTTCAACAAGAGGAGATCAGGACCGGGGGATTCGAAACCTCTTAAACCACAGGGTCAACAAATCAGCTTTAGCGAGAAGGGGGAATCCAAGGGTTCTGTTCGACCTCGATTGTGTGCCCTGCGAGGTGGATCCTCGGCAAGGGAACCAAAAGACCAAGGGTCACAACAAGAAGAATCAAGAAAAGAAAAAGAAAACAAAAGTGAACAAGAGGCCAGAGAATCTGTTGCGTCGGGCCGCACGCAAGGGTCAGAAGAGGTGCCCTTAGGAGGACCAGCTGATCCTGACAGTAGCCTAGAGGCTTCCTGTGTAGAGTTAGAAACGTCGAGCGTGCGCCATGGCATTTGGGGAAAGATTCAACTGCGCTTCAGTGGAGGCGGCCGGGAGTCCAGGAACCTCGGCTACCAGGAAGGGGGCACTTCAGCGTCTTCTTCCTCGGGTACAAGAACGTGGGAGGTATATGAAGGGGCTACGGGTTCTCCACCTGTGAAAGCTCCACCAGTGATCCCAGAGGAAATTCAGGTTGGACAACAACCGATGGCCAAATCTCCTCCAATTCTGCCCAAGTACGTGCAACATGTGCCGGACATCAATGCCAACAACAGATCGGGGGGAGAAAACTCATTGTGGAAAAGTCCACCGGCACAACTTTGCGAAGGGCAGGGAGGAAAAGCAGCGGCTCGAGGAGCGGCGGCAATGGGGACTTCATCCAAAAGTATGTCAACGGCCAAGGGCTATGGGGGATCTACTTCAAGACCTACCTCATTGGCATCAGCTTGGCCGGATGAAGCACCTCCGTGGATTCAAACGCCTAAGCACATGGCGATGCCTCGTCCACCAGTTGAACCAGGAGAAGATCCACACCGGGGCTATGAGAACCCTTGGGAGCGGCCGCACTGGCCTCAGGTTCCTCGACTGATCCCTCCCTATGGAGTCGAAGATGATCAGTTGACCTTGCAGCCCTCGGTGTGGTGGACACAGATTCTGTTCGACAAGGTGCAGCTGTTGATTGATGAAGAGGCGACGAAGTTCCGACCAGTTCCTCGCACCGATGCTTGGGACTATCTACGCTTGCCATCCGCCACTTGGCTGACTCGTCGACATAGCTTGCGGGTCCAACGATTCCACCCTGAGCATAGGTCCACGCCCGAGAATTTGAGATCGTTGGAGTATCTCCGGGTGACCGTGGCGTGGGTCCTCAATTTGTCGACGATGAAGTTCGGCAACCGGCTCATCTTCGTGGATTCTGACTGGCGGAAGGATGGTCTACCGAACACCCAAGGCAGGTGGTGCGGTTTCAGCTTTTTCCTGGTCAAGGACCAGGTGGCGATCGTACCGTAGTTGCGAAAAATTCGCAAGGGGGAGTGTGAGTCCAAAAAAGGGCATCTCCCCGCTGTGAAACGAAAGACACGCAACAACATGGTTGCACACGTTTGGCTCAAGAAAAAGACAGAGCGGCACGGCTCGCATGGTTCCGAACCTTAAGCCACCAAACAAAGGTAGCTTGGTAGGGTGGATTGTAAGAGGTCTTTCGAATGTTCCCAGACATCAAGAAGGGAAACAGGTCAGTTAGGCGGTCAGTTCGACCTATTTTTCCAAGTGAGCCTTGCAACAAGAACTACTCAAGGAGGTGAACGGCTAGGTTTTACTTGGTCAGACTGGACTTGTAAGGACACCTGGCTCAAATTTTCTGGAGAAGAGTCGTAGATGGAGAAGTTCAGCTTTCCAATCCGCCACGCAGTTATGGCCAAAGCGCTCAAGAACATCACGTGGCGAAAAAGATAGTGCACCAAATTGAAGGGCAGCCATGCGTCGCAAGATTGTCGAGCCACATCCAGTGCCAAATAAGCCAAGCGCTGTAGGAAAACATATCGGATTAATGGCGCTGACCTTTGCTGCAGCTGCTTAACCTCATTTGCCAAGCAGAAATGTTGCAAATAGCCTTGGCTTCACGCAGCGGGAGGTTCCGGTGCGGACTTGTCTGCACAAATAGATCAAAAAGCCGGATATCCAGGCAAGAGGTGTAGCCAAATGCGGCCAAGCACAGGACGCTGAAGAATTCCACACATTACATCGTATCTTATATCACAGGGGTGGCCAGAAATTCACCACACATCCCCCCAAGTAAAGACCTTCAACCTTCGCACCGCTAAAGACGTCGAGCGATGCCACAGCATCGCACCATGATGCAGTGGTTCCTTATGGCACCTGGAAAAGGAGACCCTGATGGCCTGGACCAGACTGGACGATGATTTTCCTCTAAAGTACCCCGTGGTTTGCACATGCGTTCAGATGTGGTCAGGTTCCATGTGGAAATCTTCCGGGGCACCAAGTCCTTGAAACTGAATCTGTGCCCAGGTAGGCCGGTGTGAGCCATCCACCAGGGTGCACCACTTTCTCAGCCTTTGCACCCCTTTGCACCACTTCCATGTTGGCCCCAAGTTGGAGCCTGGTCTCCACATGCACAACTTTGCACAACCAAAACAAAACCATCCCCCGGAAAATAATGTTGCCTCTGTCCTTTTTGTGTTCAGCTTTCGTGATAAGTAATACGAAAGGTGTGGAAAGGATTGGAAAGGTTGTAATGAAAGAAATTCACCTGAGAGCCTCGATCAAAGGGGCCAACCCAGTTCTTGGACCGAGGCGCGCTGGCGCGGACTGAGCTGCGGGAACTGCCGCGCGAAGTCGTTGGCGCGCTCCTCCAGCCTCCGACACTCCCAGCAGATCAGCAAGCACGAGAGGTAGAAATAGGCCCTTTGAGCGGTCAAGAGGCTGAGATAGGAAAACAACCCACTGCAGAACCTGGAAGAAGCGTTGAGCAAAAAAAGGATGAACAAGAACTGCGGCACGAAGAGAAAACACCTTATAAGGACCAACTCGCTTCATGTTAGGACCCTTGGCCCAAAACCATCCAAAACCAAATATAGTGCAGTACATAATAAATCATAATAGTACATATCAATCAAGGCAATTTGAGCCATGAGTTCCGAGGGGCATAAACAACAGTCATACCAAACAATCTGACCAATCCATTTGGTGGTGACCTGGGATGCATGGTGCTCAGAAAATCAAAAACCTTGGGGCCCAATGCCAAAAAAGGGGCACCTCTGGTGCTGAACCACAAGTCACCAAAAAGTCCGAGAGGCCACTCAAGGACATTGAAGAAGCCGCTTGTCATCACCCAGTTTCTCGCGACCTCAGGGTCCTTGTTGCCTCTCTTCCAACGTGCCAAGAGGAAAAGGGAACCTGAGTTGATGAGGTATGTGCAAACCTGCCTCCACCACCCTGACACAATCATCAAGTGCTCAAATGCAACTTGGTCAGATTGAGTTGCAATGCAGCCCACCTTGCGCTGCGGGGGGGGTTGCTGTTGGGGTATCGTGAAGATACCGCCATAGTCAGTGAGCTGATGGGACAAAGAGATGTGTCTCATGTTTAAACCGAAGCCTCTCTACCAGCTGTGAAATTCCTCACAGTGGAGGATCAGGATCAACAATATGGCAAGGACTGTCTAACCACCCTCACCTGACAGGTGGGGAACAAACTACCAGTATCAGGACCATCCTGTCTGGGTGTGCTGGCTGGACTTCCCTACAGCACCTAGCCATTGGACACCCAAACAGGATGGTCCAGGAATATTGTTGCTTCCCACAGCCTGCCCCTACACCTGCGGCCTAACTCGAGTTGAGTCTAAGGCACCAATAAAGGCACCAAAGGAAAAGGGATAAAGCGGCACGTAGAGCAACACGAAGTAAAACAAATCTCGCCAGCTGCCCAAGATCAGGCGCCGCAAACGCCAGCGAGAGAAGTCCGGCGTCCAGGATTGGAAGTAGGGACGCGGCACAGCGCTGGGGGACTGCTTCCTAGGGAAACCTCGGCCGAAAGTCAAGCAAAAACATGCCGTCCTCACATGAGGTAAACTCGCTTAGACTTTAAACATCTCCAAATCAATGTTCAAACAAAATACAGTAATATGTCGGAGAGTGCTTCACGAACAGTCACCATGGAACAAAACAATAGTAGTTGCTGTTGCTGCTGCTGCTGCTGTTGACATTGAGCTGTCATTGGTACACCAGCTCTGCACTATCTTCACATATCTTCGCTTCTGTCTGGTTGGGTGAGACGATGGCTATCGATAAAACCATGCAGTTGAAAAACTCAATGCGAGGACCTTCCATGAAAGGTGAGGCTGGCTGGGCTTCTCAATGGGCTATTCAGTGGGCACCTGTTGAAAGGTGTGGATGTCCTGCGGTCCATCCAGAACCCCTCACAAGACTCATGGGCTCAAACCAAAAGTTAAAGTGTAGAGTAAGTGTTGATCATTCACTACCCTAGGGATCCAAGTACCTCCTCAAAAGGTACTTGGACCCTCCTGGCACCCACCCCAGTCCCACCTTCTCAGAGGGTACGACTGGATCCTTAGGGCTATAGGTGATGTTGTCCAGAACCGTTGCGTCAGATGCCTGGGTCGTCCTCAGGTCTTCATCGTCAAGCAACCAGGGTAGAGACGGAACACATCGACTTCATCATCGCGGCTGCCGAGGATTCCAGCTTCCCAGTAGCTCAACAGCCAGCATTCTAGAGCTGAAGCCACTAAGAAACCTTGGATTTGAAGTGAACTCGGAAGTGAACAACAAGACCAACATCGTAAGTCTTAAGGGATTTCACCCAACAACAAGAAACAAACAATAACAAAAACAAAAACAACATAAAATTTCATGTAAGTATCTATGTCAATATGTATATATACAGTATATATATATAGATATATACTAGCCTTAGACTAAGACACCCAGCAAACACCTGCTGGCATAGCACCGGAACATCGGCCCATGATCCACCTCTCTGGACAAAGACCTTTCCTCGGGGCGAAAGCGCGTGAAACGATCGACCGACGCGCTTCGCGTCCGAGTTCCTGGACGAAGCCGGATCGAGTCAGCTGAAGCTTCAGCCAGTGGCCCAGCCATCAGATGAACACATCTGAACACAGATTAACACATATTAGCCATCAGATGGCCTAAATCAGATTAACACATATGAACACATCTGAACACGTGAATTGATCGGAAGTGATGGCCCGGCCCATCCTGTTGTTTTTCTCTCCGTCGGGGCACCGAAGCAAACGAGGACTTGGGCTGGTCATCATCACTGGCATCGTTGTGACGCTGGGTGGTCTCACCATCCTCTGCCTCTAGAAGTCAAAAACGCAAAGGTCGACAGTTTGCTTGAGGGATCCTGCTTGGCGTCCGGGGTTGTAAGTGATTGAAGCATCTAGTTGGCAGGTTCTCATCCATTTTGTCAGTGGAGTCTTGGGCAAGATTTTGCCACAATGATTGCTGAGTTCCTAAAAGGTATGGCAGAACATAATATACAGTAGAACTGTTGATCCCGCAGCCAAGAGGAAGGCCAGAATTGATGAAACTTGGGCCAAGAGGTTGAGTGATTGCATGTGATCGCCCCATCCAGCATTCCAACCCCAACAAGTTACACAAAGGTTTCCTAAAGCCTCAAGTAGCACCATTTCATGGAGAGTCACACAGCAGCCCCAGCTGCATGCACTTGCGAATGCCACCTACTCAGCTGAATTGCTGCGACTTCTTAGCAGCACTTTCTACGAACCCATCAACCCAGCCATCCAATCCATCGATCTCCGTCGCGTAGTAGCCCCTTCGTCGCCACCCCACACCCAATCCCGCACAAGCCACGTCCGTCTTTCGCACCTCGAGGCCGCAGCCCCGCGACGCCCGTCGCGTCGCAGTTCGTCGGCCTCGGGGCTCACGGCCTGCGGTCGCACCAGGGGCGCCAGTGCTGGAGCCTCCGGTCCGTGGGACGGAGCGCGCTGGGTGCAGCGGAAGTAGTGGCGCCCCGCGGAGAAGCCCAAGAGGAAGCCGCAGTTCGCGGTGACGTCCTTGGGAGGGTGAAGCAAGCAACATCAAGAGCCACTGATCTATAGACTCTTGAGTCCAAAAATGCCCCCCCCAGACATGAAAAAACAAGAGCTCTTCATATGGAGGGTCGACATCCAATCACGGAGTCTACAGTAGTACATGGCGCCCAGGGAGCTTTGACATTTTTAGGTGGCTGATGAAGGATGCCTTATGCAGTTATGAAGGATCCTCTGTCAAGTGGAAGGTGGGATTTCCAGTTTGTAAATCACCACCGCCACCAGGATCCAAGGAACGTGACAATGGTCGGCGGGTATGTCTGCGTCATTTTTTCTCCGTCGGTTTTCCAACAATAGAGGAGCCCAGCCATGGAAAATCCTTCTACAAACCAATCTGCACGAGAATCCAAGAGGAATATGATCCAGTTGATGAAGAACCCAGAACACAAGAACCTCGAGCTCTCGCGACTTTCAGTCTCGTCCAATCGGCTCGCATCTGAGCTCTCGTCCTCAGATGACTGGAGACAAAAATAGAGGCGAAACTGCGGCGAAACCGCAAAGACATGGTGTCCATGGAAAGCTGTGTGGAGCTCTGGTCACAGGTAAAGGTGACGGTTCCAATTTTCCTTGCCAAGTCAGAAAACCGGAGCCGATTTACCAGCCGATCTCTGTGGGAGAGAGAATGCTGACCGCTCAAATCCATCACATCCTTTCCCTGGGAGTCCTTTAAAAGGTATGTCTTTAAAGGTGACCCGAGTTCAGGATTGTCCTTTACTTCGGTCGTGCCCCAAAATCGTCTGACTGGACTTCTACGGATTTTTCTACCTACTTGGACCAATTGAAGTCTGACAAAGGCCTCGGCCCGAGCCAGACAACGGCGCGTGACCGCAGTGACTAGCTTGACCGCATTGGATTCGCCCAATGACGCCCCTGGATCGATGCGTTTTCGTGATGATCTATGAGCCAAAAGCTTGATCCCTGACAGGTGCTAAGACCCAGTCAAAACATGTCAAAACCATGTACAACCTGGTCTTTTGCCTTCTTGAATTTTGTTGGGGGGATATATGACCAGCCTTAAGTACAAGCACCCAAGGCTCACTCATCTGCGCGCGAAACTTGATAAAGCTGCGGATCGTCCCCAACAGGGCCCGCCCGAGCATCACAAAGAGCAAGGTCAGGCGCCGACGCTGAGCCACTCCTAGTGACCCACCGGGTTCAGCTCGGAGCTACATTGTTTTCAGCTCGGCCCAAAGGCACAGAATGAAGGAATCCCCAGATTCCTATATATAGTGGATTGAGAGTAGATGGCACAGACCCCAAGAGGTGGTTTATATGGACCCCCATCTAAAGGACATCATGGCATCTGTGCCATCTACCGCTTGAAACCAGCCTGGATTCACTGCGGGTGGTTGCGGTTGTGATTCTCAGAGATGATCAAAGATGGGGTGCAAGCGCTGGAGAACAAACCCCCAGTGAACCGATGAAGAAACAACCATCGCCATTGCAGCTTCCCAGGATGAATGATCTCGTTCTATGACCTGTAGCAGTTTTGTTGTGGGATACGGTATTTGCTATCCACGGGGAGCTGGAAATCCTTCTGGGGCACTAGGAATTAGGTGTGCGGCATAAGTAGCCCCCAAATGCCCCCCCAACTTCCAACATTCAATCCCCTCCATTGGCCATCTGAATCCACGTCTAACAAACCAATCATCGCGGCAGCCAATCTCCGTGTTCTCCTTCAGCCTCGTTGGAGGGAAGGAGCCACAGCTCTTCGGACAAACGATGGAAGATCATCTTGGGCCAGCTCGAAGAGCTCGAGCTAGATGAACCCTCCACCCATTCAAAGAGCTTGTGCTTCTGCCTCACCCCCAGGAAGACTTGAAGACATCTCGACTGACTGATGTTGGCATTTGGTGTCACAATGTTAGGACGCCCAATTTGTAAAGGATGGATCGAAGCTGCCTCGTTGAAGCTAAAGGCTAAAGGATGCTAAAGGTGTCTGCTTCTCTGTCTCGGTTCGGGCATCTTTCTGCAACTGAATTACTGCATGGTGGAAATCATTTTCACGTTCGTGCCACATGTCCCAAGTTCAAAAGGATCAAGGTCAATACTTGTCCCAAGCTGCAGAAAAGCCGAAGTGAAGCACAAGACCACCAGCATACAGCGCAAAAGCTTTTGAAAGTTCCACACAATCTGCTCAGCAGGCAGGATTCCACCTCACAGCGGGCGCTCCCCTCATTGGTCAAGCGATGGATGTAACGTCATCTCTATCGTCGAGGGAGTTCAATTCACAACACTTTCTAGAGAGTCGTGAATTGAGAGTAGATGGCACAACCCCCACAACAAGGAGGTTTATGATAATGGTTTACATGGAGCCGCATCTAAAAGAAAACGTTTTGGGGGTTGTGCCGTCTACTCTGAGACCACTGTAAGAGTGCTGGGATCATCGATTCTGGTTTCAGTATCTTGCTTCCCTCCAGAGCGACATGTAGGGACCCCAATGAACCACGCGGCCCAATCTCTGAGAATCATTGAGTTTGGGTTCGTTTAGAGTGAGTGGGTGATTTCCTCTCGAAAAAGAACCAGTTGGAACATGTACAGTATCCATAGGACTGTCTTCGACAACGGGGTCCTCAATATGGATAGTCTCTGGCAATATCCAAGCGACGTTAGTGGGAGATTGAGTTGTGACTCGTCGACTGACTATTCGGCATGTTTTTGGGAGAGAGCGTTTTACAGGGTGACTTATAGAAAAGGCTTGCATGGGACGAATGGAATCAATTCAGATTCCATATTGCAACAATCCAAATCATTCCCGCTCAACAATCTTGATGGTGTTCTTAGTGGTGTTCTTGAGTCCCACGGTGTTCTCCCCGGGTGGAAGGTTGTGAATATCGTTCTGCTTTCCTTAAAATCTTGGGACGCTTGACATTCTGGCCATGATATGCAGCGATTCACAATTTCCATCAATTTAACCAGGAACCAGCCCGGACATTGCCCTGCAACAAGCATGGCAGCGGACGGCCACTGGTCTTCCGTGAGTCTACAAAAGCCGCTGCAACAAGGAACAAAGCCCATGAGGGGTAGTGTCAAAAAAGTATCAATTGCATTCAATTGCAATGTCCCGAAGTCATGTTATCGTTTTCTTGGCCACCAATGCATTGTATAGTAGAGCTAAGGTGCATGCCAATACTAAAGTGCTGAGTGCGGGGATATACACTAGCCCATGTCCTAAGGTGCTGTGCCAACAAACAAGGCCAACATTCTAGTTGAAAAGGGGGTGCTATCCATGTTGGACAGTGGGGCCCAATGTATCCAATCACTGGATGGGACTAAACTAAACATCATTCCCTAAGTGACTGGTTCAATGCGTGACGGTGTTTCGTTCTTCCCCAACCAACGCACCCATGGTCACACCACGGCACTCTTGGCTTGCTCCTCGGAGGTCTGCCCCACGAGGGCACCCGCACGAACCAGCAGGGTGAAAAGGAAGGCCATCAATCCTCGAACCGTCGAAGGCCGTCCCGAGGCGCTGTCGGACATCTGCGACACCCCAGAAGTCGGACGGGAGACATCTGACTCCGAAGTGAAAACCATCCTGGTTTCCTCAATAGGTGTCCGACAGAACATTTGTCCCACTCGAATGTTTGAATGGTCTCTGGACTTCTCACCTTTTTCGGCTTTTCCTCTCTTCTCCTGCTTGGTCCGCCGCTGCGCCCATGGTCCGCCAAGGGTCCGATCTCCACCGATGGAAGAGGAAACCACTGGGCGACACGGGCGACGCGTTCCTCGGGCAGGTCGGCCACCGGTCGGTCACCGACCTCGTTGAGATCCGAAACGGCGTCGCCACATCTTCGGATCGACACCACCCCAGCTATGCGGCCATGCATGGAAAATCAGGCGAGAAGTCGAAGCAGATATGTACCTTTTTCAACTCATGTCACCTCAAGTCTATCAAGTCAGGTTCCAAGAGTCGGGTTCGTTTCTTAGAGGAGGCCCTGGCTGAGGCGCTGTGCCCCTCAACATCCACTCACAACAAAGGGGTCTTAGGAGGGTGACTCGGTGACTTCCGCCCCACCTCGCTGGAAAGGGCGGCGTGCCTACCGTGCCTCGCGGTTCAAACCGCGATCCTTTGACCCAAACGCTCCATGGGACTGCCATTATACGCCTACATTGGGGTGCTTTGGGGGGTCAATGTAGGCATGTATGTGCATATATATATATATATATACCTGGAAACCCATATGATCACTTTTGTTTAATCACTATGGCCTCGAGCCGTATTGACCGTTTTTGTGCATATATGCCGTATATGGGCACGGACATCTCTCTGGGGGACTCCATGTTGTATGAATGGGAACTGTATACGAATATGGCGTATACTGGCCATATTTGCATGCATATTTGGGGGTACCCGTATGATACTAGTCTTATCAATATGTTATTGAACAAAATCCAACATACTAGTGCGAATACTGCGTTGGATCACCCGAATATGGTACCCTATTGAGCCAAGAGAGGAAACCGTATATGCCTGTATTTGGGCAAACCCCGTAATGACCAAAAAAAATGGTCAAATGCCGTATGACAAAACAAATGAACATACTGTTTCTCAGGTGTATACATGGAGTGTCTGGGTTAGAGAGGGAGCGTTTTTTTGCCGGAACAATCACTCGAGTGAGTTCTGGCCGGGACGGTCACTGGGGGTGCCCTGGGGGTTTGGTGGTGATCCAACGTACCGAGGAAAGCATGCCGAAAGAGGGGCTAGCGGCAATGGGAGGGAAAGCATTAGAGGCGGCCCCACGTAGATAGAAAATATTGGAACAGTGTGCCAATGCAAGTTGTAGTGACTGGAAGGTATTGAGGATTGCTCATTACAAGAACGTCACACACTCTTCTCTCACCCATGCGCTCCCTTTTGCCCCTGCATTAAATCTTTTAAGAAGCCTAGAATAAAGGATATATATATATATAGATATATCCAATTTGAAGACAAATCCTGACGAGGCTGAACAAACTAAACCTTGTGCCCCTGGGGTAGCTATCTTCGGTCGGTTTTGTGGTGCCAAAGCGCCATAGGCTGTGCGAAGCGAAGTTCCTCGCAGGTAGCGTCCGCTGGACGCGCCATCCATCCAGACTGGGCTAAGGGCGATGAACTGTCTCTCCTCATTTGAAGCCACAAGTCGAAACATTGAGAAAGTGAGGTCTGGGTATTCCAACTGATGATTCCCAAGTCGAAGCTGAATGAGGCGAGCTCGAATCAGCATGTGGAGCATGTGCAAACACACCAGCAAAATTGTAAATTGGATCAAAACAACATCTATACCGGAATCTACTGGATTGTTCCATCTACCGGACTGAACAGCAACAACAATTGTGGGATTCCTGGATTTGTCTAGATCCACACACACACACATATATATATATATATATGTGCGACAGCATTTATTTGGTACTTGGCTCAAACACACTATCTCTTATGTGGGGGCCCTATCTCGTTTAGACTACTTAAGCAGGAGGTCATGTCACAGTATCTCGCTCAGACTCCTTTAGTAGCAAATCACACTATCTCGTTCAGACTACGTTAGTGACATCAAACAAAAGTATCTCGTTTGTGTGGGGGCCCTATCTCGTTCACAAGCGATTACTGATGATAGACAAGCAAATAGAGCATGCCGTAGACTACTTTAGTAAGTAAAGCCTAAATAAAAGTGGTTGCTCACACATTTTATGTCTATATAACAAACACCCCCAAACAAATCAAAAACAACAAACAGGGTCACGGGAAGACCACAAAACGGTTCTTGTTTATCTTGGCTTCTGTCCACGGTCTATGTTCACATCCTCCCCCTCTTCCGTCCGTGCTGAACAGCGCAGGCCCGAACTCACGCTGTTGTGCTTCGTGCCGTTGTGCTTGGTGCCATTGTGGGTCGCGCCAGTCCAATTGGATTTGGAGTCCTGCTCGGTCTCTTTCCTGAAGGCAAAAGAACAACGACAAAAGCCACATGTATAAGTTAACACCCCCAAACAATCTGAAGGAAGATCCAGAGGGGTAAAGTATTTTGACCCACAACCCTGCGTGTTGGGTCTGGAGAATGATTTTGAGGAAGGTCTTTTGGGAGTCATCTTCTGTATGAAGCGCCTCATTAAGGCTAGAGCGGCTAGAGGGGAGGCCTTTTATGAAGGCTAAATGGAGGGTGTGTGGAGAAAGGGGGTCAGCAAAAATCGCTTTTACGAAGTTAGTGCATCAAAAATACCTTCCACGAAGTTCTGCGAAGGTTTCTGGGATTTCGTTGCAGTCAGTTTTCCTACTGGCCCACCATTCCACGAACTGTCCACGAATAGCCTTGTGTTCTACGAATGTCCCGCGCCTTCCACGATGTTAGTAGAATAGGATTTTGCAAAACCCTTTCTGTGCACTACCCTTCCGTTTGCCTCTGATTTTAGGTCAGGGGCGAGCCAGTTGAAATGAGGTGAATGATAAAGAAACGAACTCACCTTTTGTGTTGGGGGCCACCTTCCTGAACTACACTGCACCTTTTGTGATGCTCGATTCATCATGATATACAGTAAACTATACAGTATATATATTTATATACCTCATAATGACCTCACAACTGCCACCAATATGGAACTGTTCATCATGTCAGTCTCACCGAGCATCTCCGCCCCATTCTCTGCCTTTTTTCGTTTGGACCGGTATAACAACACCAAACCCAGCGCGGAAAGCACGGTCACGGTCACCAGGCCGCCGACATTGCGAGCCATGGGATGGAAAGAGCTGCGAGGTAGGGTGAGATCTGCTAGGTGAGGTAGGTGTGATCTGCTTGACTTAAGGTGACATCTGCTAGAGCTGCTAGGTAGGGCACTGGGGCACCAAAAAGCAAACAAGAAACCTTTGGTGACCCGTTATTGGGGCTTACTCAGGTAGCTGGGCGGGCATGTGACCTTCAACAGAACGCCTCGCCGTTTGGCCACGATGGTCAACCACCTCTGGGGGTCCTTTTGAAGGCTTAGGCCTAGATGATCTTATGCTAGGTGAGCTGTGCGCTTTCTTGTCACAGCTTCCATGACTTGAGCAAGTGCTACGTACCCAGGGGCCCCCCAAACCACAGTATCAACTTTGGGTACCAAGCTTCTCGGGCTTTGGTTTTCCCAGGGGGCCGCATTCTGGCGCAAACCCAAAAGGAGATGAGGCCAGTTGAATCAGGCATATGACAAGTGATTGCATCATGCAAATATATTATATGACCCTTCCAGCCAACTTGTCCCATGGCGATTGCAATGTGAGTCGCTTGGGTTGTGCTAATGCTTGACCTGACTGTGTTAAGGCTATCAGCTGTTTGGCCACAAGGGAAACAACGATTCCTGAGGGACAACGAAAACAAAAACACCTTCCATGAAGCCTTCAAGAAATGCTGCCTTCAAGAAATTATCATGCATTGAAGTGATGAACAATGACAATGAGCCTCCAGTTTTAACACTGCGAATTGTAAAGTACTCAAAACTAAAATACAACTTGGCACCTCTTCATATTTGCTGTTTGGTCGACGTCATCGGCAATGATCGTCCTGTTCCACTTTGACTTATCATGGTTGAGGACTGAACAGTCTTTCTGAATATCTTTGCCGTGGTGAAAAGCTTTGGATCTTTTGGGTCAGCATCATCGACCTGTGCTCCTATTTCATGTGCAGACTTCAATCTAAGCATCATTAAAACATAGTAAAACACCCAATTAAAAAGGACAGGGACAAAACCGTAGACTGTGTCAAAATACAGGCGGGAAAATGATGTTTGTTCTTTGCAGGGTGGCTTATTTCCTCCACACGTGACAGTGTGCCACTGTCTGCGCCAAGGGGCTGTCGGAATGAAGGCATCTGCCTCTCAAACGTGGCAACTCCCGCACCAAGCGAATGGGACATGATTTGTGGTGCATGGCATGCTTCATGCAGGTATAGATTTGCCACTGGTCATGATAGCTCCACACTCCACACTTGATTGTCATCCCGCCCAATTTGGGCCGTCTGGACGGCCCAAATCATTCCATCAGTGAAGGCCGAGAGACCAGTGCCGCACAGTGTAGCAACCTCTAGACCCGTTGCTTAACTTGCCCACCTTCATAAATATACTAGGCATTACTAGGCGCAAGTGATTTAGGTGTCGGTAGTATGTGCACGAGTTTTGCCGTTGGTGGTGCTGATTCACAAGCCGAAGCGAGCACCTCCCGGGACCTCAATCCAAAGGGGGTCGAATCGAGTCATGTCGAGACGAAATCAAAAGTCCGGTTATGTGCTTCTTCTCCACATCGAGCGAGCTCGACACATCGAGCTCATCACATCTCCACCTATCTCTTGCACCGGCTGGGTAGGCTCTACTCCTTCAAATCCATTTGCATCATCAGTCTCTACATGTCTCTACTCTCTGAACGGTGCGGACCCACACTGTTCCCCCCCTTTCCGTCTACGCCGTTCCGTTCGTCGGCCCCTGGACCATCCGAGTGCCGCGCCCGGCGCGTGGCATCGTGAATCTGCCAGAACTGTTGAGGTGCATCCTGGAGATGCGACGTGTGAAGAAGCAGCTAGCAGCTAGCGGTCGCTTTTCGTCCAGTTGGACCATGCTGTCTCAGCATGGTCTGCGACTTTGGTGATCCCCAAATTCCGGGCATGTCCTGTACTTCGGTGGTGCCAAAGATGGTCTTTTGATGTCTTTTGGACTTCTACAGGGAGTGTGGATCAAAAAGAAAGACCTCTTGTCCACCCACTATAACCACACGGATCTCTCCCACCTCAGGGAACTGGTAGCATCTCGTCAGCAGGGGGGGCACATCTCGTCAGCGGTCGTCAGCAAAACTACTTAGCCAAGGGACAAGCCAAGCGAAACAGCTTAACCAAAGACGTATCATATCAATCGCACATCCACACCAAATGCACCACCAAACCCAAACAATGTGGAACTTGTTAAATAAATCTTGGATCCAATGACTCTACTAAGGGCTCACTCAAGTCGACAGTGATATGCGCCGTTAACACCGGAGGCTGGACTGCAGAATGAGTGATCAACGCGAAACAAATCGAACAAATATGAGCAAATCACATTGCCAAGGGCCAAGGGACGCCATGGGTCACAAGCACGAATGAAAAACCACTGACGTGAAAGCGGTGAGCATGTCCCGGAACTGGTCAGTCCATTGAAAACCCTCGGATCTTCGCTGTCCCCGCTCTCCTTCTGCAAGATCACGCATTGGTGTGCCTCCTCCACGACCAAGTACATGCCACTTTGGACCTGAGGGGCGACCGGACGCAGGCGGCGACCGGCTGGACCTCTTGGGGCACATTCGTTATAAGCGCGTTAGAACGTGGACCCTTCTCGAAAGAAATCCACGGGAAAAGGCCGAAACATTGACCGGTCCAGTGGAGTTGTGCTACTGTGACATGAACAAAGGATCTAAAAGCATGTGTCCAATGTGTCCACCCAGTCCAAGCTGTTTCAGGTGGTCTGAACCATTGGACTCCTCAAATATCCTCAAATTTAAGAGGTCCAAGCAGCACGAAAAGGAACACATGAACACCGACCTGGTAAAACCGAGTTCAGGTCTTCCACACCATTGTCTTCCAGTCGCAGCGTGGTCCACTGTTCCACAAAGCCAAGCAAAGTTACTCGCCTGTAAAACTCACGTGGTACCCTGACAATGGACCCCCTGAAAGGTTGCTTTTCCTCTACCAACCCGTGGATCTTCAGGGTCCATCGCATTGTCTTCAGGATTCTCTCTCCCCTTCCAGGGCGATCGGATGTCCCAGGGCGTCCCTGCACTTCGGATCAGGAAGGGCTTATGGATCCCCGGCGAGTCGTTCGGGAAGCACAGCCTCAGGGCGGGCAGTGGAGACAGCTCCAGACCCGACTGCCGAGCCCCAAATCCCTAAGGGGAGGAGTTTCAGTTCTCCAACTGCGGAGGGGGTTCTTCACCCATAGCATCCAGGTACCTCCTGAGGATGGTCTTGGAGCTGAAAGTACTTCCAGAGAATGGTCTTGGCGGGTCAAAGGACATCCTCAGGATGGTCCTGGACCCCTAGGGTCAGTTTTTGTTGAGGGAGTTCCCGGCCCTCGGAGTTACGCCCGGAGTGGAAGGACACGTCGCCAGAGCTTTGATAGCCGGAAGGATCAGCCTGGACCTCTGCGATCGATTTTGAAAAAGCGCTAAACCCTGCACTTGTTCCAAGACATCCACCTCGCCCTGGAAAACAACAAGCCACCCACCCCTGACCGATTCGGCGCGCTTCGGCGAATTCGGGCTTCCCAGCACCCAGCGCTGGTTGGCGTCGGATTTATTGGCACCCTCCAATCTCAAGGGGATTCCACCTGACCGTCGGACAGTCCTCCTCCGTCCCGTCGCGTCGGACCGGTAGCGGCCCTCGTGAAGGTCGACACGTCCGATGCACTGGGGAGAGTCGTCCTCATATTGGAGAAACCTTTTCATCTATTTTCGGAGTGGTTTCGTCAGTGTAATGGAATCCTAAGGACCCGGTCCTAAGGCTTATAATGGGTTGAGAGTAGGCACAATCCCCAAGATTGGTGGTTCACAGTGGTTTCAGAGTAAATGGCCAGCTTCGAAGCTTCGCCCAGGGTCGTCCAAAGAGAAGGCTTCACCACTGGCTTCACCAGTTTGCGGTCTGGAATTCTGGAAAAAACGCACACGCACACAACTTCTAGCAGGCAGCACCATCCAAGCAAAAAGGAGCATTTACACATGGAGTATCTTGGCATATTCCGTCGGGGAACCCCCTAGGAATGTGTAGGTAGCTTCAGTCCATCTCATCGCAGTTCATGCTGCAATTCTCAGATTGAGCACAAATCAAAAAGAGTACAGATTGGCCCGATGCTCACGTCGCACAAAGGAGCTCTCGAAGCACCAAGTCCTTGTTGCAAGCAAACATTAATTAATAGGTTTTGAGTTTTGAGTTAGAATATAAACGATTCAATACGATTCAGTAGGTTTTTTTCCTCCCACTAACCCCAATCGTTTTTCAGAATTGATGACACAAACCTCAAACGTATAGAAGTTGTAACATCACCCCCCCTTGCGTCTGGCAGGTCTGGCAAGCTGCTCTGAAATTAATGCAATTGATTGTTCAACGAACAGCTACCCATAGAAGCGATAGAAGTCCAGCAGCGTCAAGCCGAGGCTGCTGAATGCTAATGAGTACAGTGCAGCACGCCCAGCCTATTCATTGGCCAATCTCTTTCGGTCTCCCAGCCATACAGCTTTGCATCGCTTTACCAAACATCGGCAACAAATCCGGATGGGATGGTGTGCAGGATCCCGTGTCACACCGGCTCATCAGGTCTATCCCTTGTGTGTGCAGCGTCGCATAGCGTTGTTCCGCCCACCCGAGCAGAAGGTGCCTACAAGCGCGCGGCGAGGATGATGGTCCTGGGTTCAAGCAACACGCGAAAGGCGCGTGGCTCAAAAAAGTTCATGACCTGATAAATGCATACTTCCAATAGTTCCAACGGGGTGCCTATTGGAGGATAGGGGTGCCCACTATCCAATCACTTAGTGCCTAAAAATAGTAAAACAATGCCTCCTGGTTGTTGCTTGCCCATCTTGTGCTGTAAGTGTATAAGCATAGTGTATATATACAATATACACAGTAGTGTACTCGGCCGAAATTTCAGTCTGCTTCGGCAGAATCTAACCCTTCTTGGCCAAGCAATAACACCAAAGCTGCCATCTGCAGTGGACAAGGATGCAAAGGATGTCATGGATTCTTCTGACTTGGTATGAATCTTCATCCCGTCAGTCTTCCCTTGAACATCTGATGTTTTTTGCCGATTTCACACTGTTCCCGTGTTCCCGATCGTTTAGCCATTGAACCCCTCTACAAACACATGATATTCCGCAGCAACACCACAACCGCGTTCCTCTTGGAAGCGAAAACCGAACTGAACGCGCCATGGAAACCGTGCCATGTTCCGCTCAAATCCGTATCGCTGGACGTTCCGGGGCACATTGCGAATGAGGAATCCATCCAGGCGAGCATCGCTCTGAATCCTCAGCACTCGAGGTCGGACTCGGCGCGGGGAGTCTCGGAACGTCAGACTGAGTGGTCTCAAGACCCGGCAGTGGGACAGATCGACGGATTGATTTATGAAAAAAAATGGGATCGCAGAATCACAGAGGTGGAAGTGGAACCTGAAGGCTTTGTATTCAACTTCACACTCCTTTACACTCCGTGTGTGTGCTTTTGGAGGAGATGTGGGAGGACGAAGGCCCCCGCATCTCCAAACGCCCACGAACGATGGCCCACCGGAAACCGGTGCTTCGGCCGGATCCTCGGACATAGGCATGGACATAGGTTTTATATGGTTTTATAGGAAAGAAGAAACATCGTGGGTTGACATGCCCGGGGGAAGCGTCCAATTGTCCAATGGGTGTTTCTTCAACATGGGACCCAACTTCTTCTCTGCCCATCACGTCAGAGCCGTGGGCGTGTCCAACCGCCACACTTGCTTTCACTTGAGGCCCAAACAGCCAGCGGTAGTCCCCCACTTTACGGAAGCGGTGCTGCTTTTGCACCTGCAGCGCGGTCGTCGCCCACCGCTGAAAATGCAAGTGGAGCCTAATTGGTTCTCCATTCATCTTTTAGCTTGGGTGGTTCGGTGTGGCTCTTGGAGAACCAATTAGTAGCACCAATTGGAGAAGTAAAAGAGCCACTACTTCTACCATCGGTGGAGCCTAATTGGAGAAGTCGTAGCACCTTCTAACAATCCCCAGTATTTGGGTTTTGCTGCTTCGTGCGAGGTTTGGGATCCTCCGGGTGGTCCAATCAGTTGGGGTGGTTTTGGGGGTCAATGTAGGCATAAATTAAATATACGTGGAGTGTCTGGGTACTGTATCTCAGTTCTCCAACTGCGAAGCGATGGCGAATGCAGCTGGCCGATTGTTCCAACAGCCAGTCTTCGGTGACGAATCGACGCTTCTTTTGACAGGGGCCATTGAGCTACGGTGTTCGTGGTTTCCGAGACTTTTCTACGAATGCCCCCTGCGTCCTTCTCCCAGTCTGCTCAGGAGCGTGTACTGCGATATCGAAGCTGAGGACTGCGATCCGAAGCGATTCGCGACACGGGAGAACATCCACAAACGTCGAAACGCCATGCGTGTTCAATCACCGTGAACTGGAACAGGGTGCTTGAACCATGTGCAAACCAACTCTGAAATCATTGAAATCATCAAGATTCATCAAGGTGCCCAAAAACACCTCCGAACCCTTCCCCCCACGTCCGAATCCCGCGACCGGTCGGCCGGTCGACCGTAGGGGGTCCGTGGCCTCTGAGACGTGGACGAGCTCGGCCGGACAGTTGCCTTGCTCGACACCGAAGCGAAAGAATCTGTCATGGATACATCATATGCCGTCGGCCGTCGGGGTGGTTTTAGTAGACAATTCATGAGTCAATGCTATTCCATGTTATTTTCTTGCATTTTGTTGTACATGTATCCGCGTATATGGAATGGCTTCCTTGGGTATATATTCGCATTCCCTGGGTCCAGTGGATGATGGGGTCGTGTTCAGCTTCCGTCGGAACCGATCACCTGTGGGACACCACAGGAAGATGTGGGACACTCCAAAGTCACCACCCCAACAGATCGTTTTGTTGCCAGTTGGGCCAAGAAGTACGAACGCACGGATATCGCTGGGCACCGCAGGATCGCTCGGGGATATCGCTGGGATGGTGATGCCTCGTTTTGAGCAGAAAGACACAGCGTGGTTGTTTGGTAAAAGGAGTGTTACCCTGCCCTTCAACAGCCTATTGTTTTAAAAGTCGTTCGAGCAAAGCCTATTATGGAAATAGTCGATGGGTTTTGAAATAGTCGATAGCTCTTGAGATCCGATCATCAAGATTGAAGAATCAAGTGTTCGAAGTGCTTCGCCCTCCCACTGTAGCACATAATCCTTTTTCAGCCCCTTCCACGACGCATGCGTGCCCGCACAGATCGGTTCAACCTTAGCCACACATAGACTCATATGCGCACAATGTCAGGGGCCACTGTCATGATTAGCATATCACAAGCTCCTCGTTTTGAACATCAGCTTCACTCGAACGACTTTTAAACAAACGAACGAACGGTGTTTGAAGGGCATTGAGACAAGTAACGCGTCCACCTTAAGTTTGGTGGCCCAAATCCTCGGTGGGGAATGCATGCAGCTTTGAACACCAAATAAGGTCCTTTGTGACAAACTGCATGGATCCTCTAAAGGATGTTCTACCTGATTGATGGATGTGAGTGCATGCATGGATGTACAAAACATTCTGCCTAGTGTCCGGAGTCTGCCACACCGCATGACCCAGGCAGATTTCCTGAAGGCATGCCCTTGGAGATAGGTTCCTGAGTGGTATTTGTTGCAACTGGGTCAGAACATGTCAAACAAAACAGGTGACCACAATCTACTGGAACTGCTTAGGTGTGCAAACACCGGAATTGAAAACTGCAATTAATATAAGTTCATTAATTAATTCTGTCCAAAACACGTTTTGTCCATAGCATTGCATCCTCGTCTTGGAAGCAATGGTAGAAGCGTGGATTGCTTCCTCGTACCATGACCCACTTTCACAATGGCTTGCAGATCAGTGGATAGTCACCACACCCGATTCAAATAGCACATGCAAATGAATTAAGTCGTAACTGCATAGAATGGAAAACTGGTAACTGCTGATAGGGCTCTTCTGTTCAGAACTGATTTGCACAGGTGCTTCAGAACCTTAGCTGAGCATATATATATATATATCATAATTAGCCATTGGACCTATGGAGCATCCAGTCCATGCCCCACGTGCCACATGACAAGAGACAAAGATCGTACATCAGACAACCATGCATGCATATAGTGCAGAATAGGCACATGGAGTTTTGGTATCACAAACCACTCTTTCCGCGTTTGCCTGGGACGCGGTGTTGTTGAACTGTTCTGGACAGAATGGGCCAGAACATGCCAGAACCATGATCAAAGTGCAGCATTAATCCACGATCAGCAGAGTGCCTAGCTAATATACATTGTTTTACCCAAGGTCCGAATTAAATTGACATTTATATATGAGCTAGATGCAAACTCAAATTGCGATCAGTTTCTCTATAGAGCCTCGCGCGTATATGTATACCTGTATATACATGTATACATTGTAACAAACGATGACGACCAGTACGACCAGTGGCCTCAAAGCAATTTGAGCCAATCGCAAGTGACCACGAATATAGGCCATGCCATCATCGTGAATCGCACGAGATTCGGTCTCACTCCTTGGGTTGCATAGATCCAAAAACATGTTTCTGATCTCAGTCTGATCTCAAAGGTCCAAAACATGTTATAACCAATCATTACCGGTGACAACCAGCAACTAGCATGCGATCCCCCTGCTGTCAGTCCTCTATGTTTGAAACTGTTTAACTCCCCAAGTTTTTTTACAGCAGTTCAGATCAGTCTACAATGATTTAGAGCAGGGGTCAAGAAGCGACCACCACCTTCGATGCCATGAATGAAGCGGACAAGATGCAGCCTCAGATCATGGTTTCAGCTTGGCTCTCAGGGAACCTGGATGGACTTCATAACTATGGTGAAAAACTAGTGAGGCCTCCAATGACTTTTTGGATGTGGGGCTAGCTGTGCACCACTGCCTTATTATGTGTTTCATATATATATATATATGATAGTCCTCTTTGTATATAATATACTAGCTAATATGCATGTGTATATGTAATATAATATAATGTGCACACAGGAAAAATCCCATTTAGACTTGGTTCAGCGCGCTGTGTAGACACATGCACACAGCAGTGGTGTAGCAGTGTTGTGGTAATTGCCAACGAACAGCGGTGGACACACACACACACAGCATGCAGTGCAATGTGGTGTGTCATCCAGTGAGCCCTTGCAACCCCAAACTTTGCATCAACATGATGCATCTAGTGGACAAGCTCGAAGAAGAAACACTGTACCATGTTACCAGTTAACATTTGCCACCAAAAATCATTGTAACAGCGACCACAGCTATGGTGTTCGTGGCATCAGCTGCTTGGAACTGGGCATCCTGAGCTGCAGCTGCCACAGTCTCAGCAAGCCACTGTGCTACGCAACGCCCATTGTAGGCTTTGCACAGCAATCGAATATCCCCAGTCTTGAGGTACAACTCAGCTCACACACGATATGTGATTTGACAATCAATCCTGCTAGAACTACCATTCAAAAGGCAATGCCATTCACTGGATACAACGAACAGTTGCTTCATCCAAGATCTTGCCCAGGAACAAGATTCTCTTTGAAGGCCGGCTGGCTGCAGTTGATCCGCTTCCTCACGCACCAGGTCTTGAAATCAATGTAGGCCCGGTGCAAGTGAACTCGGGTGGGCTCATCTGCAGGTGCCCAGTAGCAACATTTGACCAAGAGATTCCTGATCATGGCAAACTCACAGGTCTTCCAAAACACATTGATGAACTAAAAGCAGTTCGAATCAGTTCATGTGTATGATTCGTGGTTCTAGTTAAGTGGCACTGAATCACAAAGCACCTGTTTGCCCAACGTGCGCATGCATGCAGCAAGCAACAATGCATGCATGCAAGTGGCATTGTCCCACCATTTGCCGTGTATAGCAGCCCAAGATGCAGGGCATGCATCAGACACCATCGAATGATGGAAGGGTGGAAGCCCTTCAAGCCAACTAGAGGGCCTCAACATGAATTCAGCAGGAGCTGATCATGACAGCAACGCAACCCAACAAAGACCCAGAATTCCTTCGGCCTGGTCATCACCTGTGGTCATCTAGCCTGACCTACCAACCTGCAAGAACAGAATTCTTATTACTCACCAAACTTGGGAACAGATAGGCGTTTGAGCAGCCAAAGCACTTATTCCACGAGGTGGCATTCTCTTTGCCAGAAATCCGGCCAAGGTGAAGTCTTCCAAAGTGCTGTCAGGATTCCAGTACAAATCATTCCAGTCATCACTCTGGATTTTGGCCGGGCAAAAAGGACATGTGTCTTCCAGTGAATTCCAATTGCACCGCCAAAATTTCATCACCTTCTTATGCCACGCCCAGTCTCCACGCAGCTCCACAACTTGGAAGGTGTGAAACTGACTGGTCAAAGGTTTCCCAGCCAGTCTGGCCGCCTTGCCTCCAAGGTTTCTTCCATGTAGGTCTTGTCCTGGCCATCTCCCATGCCATGCATGGTTTGCAGACCAAACAATCCTTTTCAAGATTGTAGGAAGGGTTTGGCTTGTACATCTTTCCTCAGGAATGCAGCAAAGAAGAAATCGGCTCCACCTAACAGACTTCGGTCTCCAGAGCACCAGGTTTGCAAACAGGGCTATGACATTCTCAGAGCCAAATGTCGTGCGCACTTTGGCTGAATCACCATACAGGCCGATTGGCACTCGGTGGTGGTTGGACGTATCCTGCGCAAAGGGCTCCCCATACTCGCAAGAACGACGCCAATACTCATGAATACAAGATGTAGGGATCTCAATCCCAGCTTCTTCGAAAGCAAAGGCCATAATAGAATGCACGTCAATGATGGGCCAGCTGTCAACATGCACAACATTTTTGCCATTTGCATCCTTGAACTTCACAGGGATCCGGATATATTGAACTTCCTCATCGCCGCACCCACGCGCAGTGAATGGAACTCGTTGGCCTGTGCTATTAAACAAATACAATATGCATGTGCATATTAAATATATATATAGTTTTATTATAGCATATATGCGCTCAAAAAGGATGCAATCATGGACTACTCTGATGGCAAACAAAGATCGAACAGTTTTCCATTGAACCATGTAGGCCGGCTTAGCCCTGATATACGTCGATATCAGTATTTCTCCATGGAAGCCATGTCGATGCCATTAGGAAAGTTGAAATGAACATCTCTTACTATGCACTTTGAACCAGGTTGTGCAAAATCAATGACATGGACCAACAAGCTTAGGGCACAGTGCTGTGCAGGTCTTAATTAATTAACCAAATGCATGTTTTCTGGCCGTAGCTTCGTGAAGTTTACAGTCACAAACAGTCACAAAGGTTTGGCCACATGACATACCCCAATCTCGGCTGTTTTGGTAAACCATTTCCACACACGAAGGACTTGCCCTTCACTTCCCCCAGCTTTTTTGATTTGTTGGGATGGAGACCAAATCACCAGTTCTTTTCCATGACTCTTGGACACCAACGAGGGTACACCTGCAATACCGATATAGTTTGCAATACCGATATATATATATATATTATAATTATGATATCATTTACCCAAGGTGTATACCAGTCAAGGGTCAGGACCTTTGTCAAGCAGCCGCCACCAGTCCCGAGAGGCATTGTCCTTCGACAGAAGCCCCAATTTTCGCGTCAAAGGGTGTGCAACTATATCATGAGAGTCCTTAGCTCGGTACTTGCATAACTTGAGAATCATGAGTGAATGTCCTGGCAACGTTATATATATATATATAGTGTTTTTCCTTTGTGATATTTTGTGATTCTTCGTGACACCTATGCACATGTATGCATTATAGGGCCGGTGTAGGTGGACCTGAAGCATGTGCCATGTTTGGGTCGATCATGTTTGGGATGTTGGCCAACAAGGATCCTCACACATGATCACAATCTTCTGGAGTTCGCTCACGCGACCGAGGTTCAGCCACATGTGCCCTGATGTTCCGCATGGCCTTCCCGACAGAGCTGCCCTTAGATTTCGCAGTTCGCAGTTTGTCACAGGGGTGGAGGGATCTCACACCTCACGAACTTGTTATCGCATGAAGTATCGCACGAATATTTATATCGACCAGTACCGTCTTTTTCTGATGATCGATTCATTCATATCGATGAAATCCAGTCTAATGCAAACCCTAAGAGTTGGGTAGTTGCAGTCTAATGCAAACCCCGAAGAAGCACACATGCACACACACAAAGAGGGCTGAAATGGTCATCGTCACCTCATGCAAGAATAGCAGGATCTAGGATGTTGATTTTTTTTACCATTTACATCTTATTTATTATTTCATAGTCCATCAATATATATACCTACACACGTCAAAACTAAGTAGCGCCTGTGTTGGACATATTGGTGATTTGAACCACCAAGTATGCCAATCCAAGAGGCTCCACTGCAAACATCCTGCACAGAATTGGCCAGAACATTCGATGGGGCGTCAGCAACACCTTCACCTGCGCGGGGCTTTGCAGAGTCCCACAAATTATGTGAACAAGGCGGAGGTAATCTCTGATCAATCCAGAGTGGAGAGGCCAGAAAGATAGAACCCAGAATAACTTGGTTTGAGGTATTATAATATAATATAGGATGCACCGTTTCCACTACTGTGATCGCGATGTATGTCCAAATTTTCTCTGGTGAGTGCAGTAAGACTTCGAACAGCAATCCAAAAATCGGTTCCATCCATGTAAATTAGGACGATCGGGCAGCACTGTCAAAAAGGGATATCGCTTCTGAAGCATCCCCCTGTGGCAAGAACGCGTTGCCATGATTGATCACTAGCTTGGCCCCCCTGTGAGCTGAGCAGTTTTGCCACCAAACAACAGTGCAACATATCACACTCTCACAGAACAATAAACAGATCTATGATCAAGCATTAAACACCTATGGCCTATGTTGATTTCTTTGTTTGTTTAACGTTTGTTTGTGTATTCATAATTCACGGTGGCGACCTGCACAGTGGCTCCCCTCCAGGCAGTGACCACTAACAAAGCACCGCGAACCACAGCAATTGTTGCATGTGCCAAATGCCCATGCATAGCTCTTGGCTCACTTGAGATTGGTACGGGTGACCACAGACTGCCACTCCTCAAGCACATCCTTTGTCTTCTGATTGAGGTCCTCCAGGCCAGTCTCCTAGGATAAGGCAAGTCATTGTGTTGCCAGGTTTGGACCAGTTTCTACTGCGATGGCGAAAGGCTTCTCAGGAAGAATCGACTACAAGCTGCTTGAGTATAGTAGCTAGTATAAAAATATTAAATATCGATCGATTCGAAAGCAGCTTCTTTCTATTTTTGGATCATTCACAGTTTGTAAATAGTTATGGAAGACAGCGCCGACTCACCATGTCCCATGTTTTTCTCAGGGCAACTCGTAAGGGCTGAGTGATCCCCTAATAGTCATGTGGTGCATAGATTCTTCATGAAGGGCAGCGTATCTGGTTCGCGATAGGATCATTAACTATGCATGATTCCACTCATTGAGGGTTCCCCAAATCCAGACACACCAAACAAGAATGAAGCTGCTTCCTAAGTTCTGAATCACAATCCAAGACACATCAAACGTATCAATTTTCCTCTGAATCTTTCCGCGTAGATCACACATAGAGTTCTTGGCCTTCTTCAACTCGACCGAGATGACCGCCTGCAACTGAGGATTCCTTGGTGAGCCATGGGTGGCCCCAGGGGCTGGCGATGCAGGGGAGGTGGTCATGGTCCGTAGGGTGTCTACTGTGTATTGGGACCATATCGAGTGCCCATGGGCTCAATATGAGCAACCCTCATGAGCCCATGTTTCCTTTGAGCCACTTGTTGGAGGAAGTTACATGGAACCTATAATACCCAACTGACTCAATTGCAGAAGTGGAGCGAAGGAACATGCAAAGCTGCATTTCAATTAAGAGTCTACTATCGGTATCATTTATAGTCCAAGGTGTGTTTTATATTTATTTAGATGTGTGCAAATCCAATCCCTAAAAGCTATCGATCTAATAATTAGCAGAAAACACATGTTTCATCATTGTTTGATCGAAGAGTTTTCACTCAACAACTGACTAGGGCATGTGTTACCCACCTAGAAAAGTGAAGATTGCATTTTCAATTGTGTTCAGTGTGCCATTTCGATATCTGGGTGTGTATTGAATAATGGTACAATTGCACGCACTTCATATGCATGGAGAGAGCATGCACTCGAATCGCACTAGCAAAGGTTCTGGAATTACAGCCATGACACTGGAGTCACCTGCCAGGTTTGTCGTATAATTACACCAGCCACTGGAAACTGTTAATACAGAATATACGTACACCCGTTGCATTTGCTGATATACCTCAATAAGATGCATGCATGCACATGTATACAGCAGTTGTGTTTTGCGAACAAGTGCATCGTGGCAATGTGCTAGTTGGACAGCAGAACAAATTTGGAGAAACCCAAACAAAGGGGGTTAATATTAGGGGCTTCCGATCGTATGTATGGCCCTTCAGACGGGATTGAATTGCACCATTTTGCAACATGCTCTAGGACCTCAGGTGCCAAACAATGCATGAGTTGCTTTGCAAACCAGTTGGTATTGAACATCTTGGACAGGAGGTTTCTTACAGCTGCACCACTCCCTGATCCATTGCAATGAAGCCCTATAAAAATCAATAGCAGATTGTCAGCCACGAATGGCAAAGCCGCTGACCACTTCAGGATCCCCAGAAAATATCAAAATCATCTTGTGGGAGTGAGCCTGTCCCGGCCCCTGCACATTTGCCATTTGAGGTGCATCGTGCTGCACAGCTTTTCCTTGCCGCAGGCCTCCACGATCTTGTCGTTGAGTTGGGCCATGGACTGGGCAGTTGCTGTGAGGGATGAAGACAATGCAACCATTCAATTCCAGGAATATTAGCTAATGATATTAGTAACTATATATATATTATAAATCAAGAACTCCTGATCTCCTTGGGGCCACCAATGTGGTAGCAACTATGGTACATGGTAGTACTGGGTTGTTTAATTCACAATAGTCCAAACAGCTGTCCTCAAAGACTGAAAGAGAATCAGTGAAAAATACTAGTAAAAATACTGTGTGGTGTGTTGGGGGAAAGTTGATTTTCGAGGACATCGCACCCATTGGTGAGTTCAAATCATGTTCAACACAACTGCATGTATATTTACCCAGCAATGGATGAGGCCACAAAACAGGTTGCACTGTGCACGTGGGGCAATCCAAAGAAATCCAAAGGAATCCGTCAGCCTTCTTCCCTTTGTTGAAGATTTCTTTCAAGGCCTTATCCTTCGCGCGCTGCTCTTCTTTCTCCGCCTTGTCCTTCTCCTTTTGTAGCCTCTTCTCCCTCTGCTCTTTCGTCTCCTTCTTGGCCTTCTTGTTTTTCTTGCCTTTCTTGCCTTTCTTCTTTGCCTCACCGTGGAGCGAGAGAAGCTTGTTCAGCAGGTCGGATAGAAAACTTGGGGGAAAGCAAAGAGTCAGATCTGGCATGTTTATACCTAGTGCAATCAGGGTCCCACATCACGAAATTATACGTCATGACCTGGCTCGGTATGTTTTGATCTTGATTACGTATGGTGGGCAATTTACTGGCAATTAGATTATATTCAATGGCATGTCTGGGCGTACAGGCGCAAGAAGTATTATAAATATTGTTATTATACCTAACTGTGGCTTCCTTCTATCATGTTATATAAACATTGCATTGTAGTTGCAAAATACTATTATAGACTGATCGAAAAGACACAAGAACTCCCTAAGTCCCACCTTGGACTGTGAGCTGGAACTACCATCACTGCTTGACTTCGAGCTGCTCTTTGACCTGTCTCGTTTCTTTGATTTCTTCGTGCTCTTCTTGTCCTTCTTCGCAGGTTTGGCACCTGAACCTTCAGAGTCTGAACCCCCCTCGGCTGCTTCAAACAAATCCTCAACCACTGTGTCCGTGGTCTCGGCGATGCCCTCCGAGTCCCACACGAGGTAAAGCATCATGTCCTGAGGACCAAGCTGCTCGGTTGCATCTAGGCAAGGGGGTGCTGGACATGTAAAATGGTCCTATTCACAAACTCATTGAAACTCGATCAACAAAAGGT